ATTCGAAATACCGAAGTCGTTAGAGTTACATTCCTAAACTGGATCTAAAAAAGCAACTTAGACCGAAAATCGTGACTATATGTGTGTAATCGGGTATAAGAAGATTATATTACTTCAAAGAATTGAAGCCCTATATAATATTCATAAACTAATCATGCTAAAAGTGAGACTGTTTTACTCACTTTTTATCAGGGAAACAACGGTGCCCTATCTATTTGTCTTTCCAATGGGGAGAATATAAGAGACACTGATTTTATCTAATAATAGGCTACCGTAACTTGTTAGTAACCTTTCATAAAACGTCTCATATCTACTTCGCAAATAGACTCTACTCTACCTTAAGCAACGCGTAATATTGGTGTAACTACTATCCAATGAAATAAAATGAGATTCTGCGCTTGATCATTTATCCTCTATATCCTGCATTTTAATGTGTGCAATATTTCTCTTTTTTATAGCTGGCTCCACGAGCAGGAGAAATAAAGGGAATCCTGTGTTTCAGTTGGTTGCCCAAACTTCTTTCCTATCCATCTATGTTTTTACCATATTTTCACGCGTCGTAAAACACAACATTAGGTCTCACCAGCGATTTTTCAAGTCGCCTATCTAATGACTACCGGAAATCTTGTGAAAAGTCTTGCCTTTTCAACGCGTCGGCAAACTTCAATGCTTTTTTAAAAAAAGCCACCACAGCTCGAAATTCAAGCAAATCCGCATCCCGCAATTAATTTCCGCCAAGGAGAAGGAAGTCGTTGTCATTCCTTTAAAAATCTGTCAATTCAGAAACAATCAGCGCGCTTTTATTTTCATTTCTTCAACAAACACAAAACGAATGATTATTCAGTTCACAATCTTATAAGCTTTCTTTCGTTAAATGTCCCAGGTAAACAATTCTTGATGATTTCAACTCTGAAAACACGAAGCATTCAGCTACACGTTGCCCCGCTGCCTATTCAAATTTGAAAATAAAAATTTTTCAAATTATTCACGCGCGTGTAAGCTGGCGCCTCTGAAAGCCTGTTAGACTTCCAAACGATTGTTTCAATTATAGTATTTTCCATGTAGATTTGAGGTTGTGATCATCTACAGAAAAAAAACTGAGAGTGCTAAAGACTCCCTTTGAAGTTATTGTTAGACTGAGAAACGGTGTCGAAACGTCCCCGAGGACCCCTTACATCTGTGAACATATACCACAGGTGTTCCAAGCTCACGTCTCGAGGAAAAGCAAAATATTGCCTCACGAGAGCGTAACTCCGCTTTATAACAGGAATAAAAGTGATGGCAAAGCAAGCCAAAAGCGGCAGAGAACACCACAAACCACAATGGACAAACAAAGAGCGAGTAGCTTCTGTTAATCTTACGCGTAGAATGTTGATATTTCGAAATATCTAGCGTTGTAGATCGACCATATTTCTTTCCCCATACTATTCCTTACAGCGTGTTTAAATTCTCAACCTAACTTAACTCCGCGTCAGATAGCATCTGACGCTTTCATTAATTTGAAAATGGTTTGCTTTTCTGGGGACGTAAGCTTGAGATGTAAGCTTGGGAGACCTGTGCATAGACCGGAAATTCGCTGTTGCTTCCGTAGTTTCCCAGAAATGCATTGTTTACCTCTACTCATCCTCAGCCAAGACAAAAATTACTGGTTAGTCTACAGCTCTGCTGGCCTGAATCCATCTCTTGTTCAATTTTTCTTTAGGCCCAGGCACCTAATATATTAACCGTCCTATTTACAACTTAGCAAAGTATAGAAAGCTGAGTAATTTTCTTACCAAAGCGTATATACCGCCGGCGTTAAGTCTTTCGTGTCACTGTTTATCTAAGTACCCGAGGTCTTAAAGGTTAAATAAGCACGTATCACGTCCTCTTGGCCGATTTCTACAACCAACCAGCATATATGTTGTCGCCAAAAGAACTTAAAAAGCGTTTCGACTTTACCATCAACCAAAATAATTTTACAGCAAGCGCACACGCCGAAAACTTTGTGGTATATTGAATTTTTTTTCAAACTCTGCGAAATGTCAAGGCCAGATAAGAAGCTAAACCATAAAAAGATCGTCTTAAATTTCACTGCAACTTAAAATATTTTCAATTGAAGAGCTGTGTACAGTATTCGCATGGCGAAATTTGGCTCGAAGAAATGAAATTCCACGCTGCACCCCTAATATTACTTGTAAAACTGAACTCTGATAACAGTCCACGCAGAGCACAAGTATAGATTAATCAAATGAGGCCAAATGTTAAAAGATTGTAGCTGATTGCGGAATTGAAAGAGGCCTCGTGTAGCTGCTTTTGAAATTCACGGTATCGTGACATCCTTCCACAGTTGAATTAAAGATGCTATGATCATGTTCTCTAGCTAGAATACAGTCGAACCTCAAATATCCAGACTTTTTTTCTCTGGTCCCAATTTTGTCATGAATATTTATTAGTCATGATCACGATCCGTAGCCATATTCTTTTCAAAACTACGCTTTCAAAAAGCAAAAGCAGCGCTCCCACGCGTCGTAACTAATTAAAAACATTTTTGTTCCTCATCAATGTTCATATTCTTGATTATCCGGACCCCCAATTCTCTGGACTATTTCGTCTAGTCCCAATGAGTCCGGATAATCGAGATAATATCACTGCAACACAAAAAGCACAACATTTTCAAAGAGCTGTGTACAGTGTTCGCATGGCGAAATTAGCTCGAAGAAATGAAATTTCATGCTACACCCGCAATAATACTTTGTAAAACTGAACTCTGATGACAGCCCACGCAGAGCACAAGTTTCGATTACTCAAATGAAGCCGAATGGTGAGAGACTGTAGCTGATTGCGGAAGTGAAAGAGGCCTCGTGTAGCTTGTTTTGAAATTCACGGTATCGTGACATCCTTCCCCAGTTGAATTAAAGATGCTATGGTCGTGTTCTCCAGCTATAATATAGACTTAGTTTCATCAAACCATATATAATAAGCGGCGTACAAGAACTGAACGACCCTGTGTTTTTCAAAGTACGATGTGTTTCAATGTTCTATACAGTACTTTAAACTACCTAAATACCGCAGTCGAACCTCGAAAATCCGCACGTCGATTATCCGGATTTCTCGATTATCCAGACTTTTTCTCTGGTCCCAATTTTGTTTTTAATATTTATTAGTCATGATCAAGATCCATAGCCATATGGTGAAACCTCCGAGGACTCCTAGCAGAATGGCTTGATCTACGAGACACCTCGTAGGGAAAGAAATGAAGATTCATCGTCGACTCAAAGCAAAATTCTCTCTGAAATTTCCACGGGCCATCGCCTCCAAATAGCATTAATTATCCCTCTGAGCTTGTCAGGCTGCTTATATTAACTGCTAACCAACTTGAAATCGTTTCGTTTATATTTTATCTAACACCACTTACCGTATTAGCTTTTATAATGAATCCAAGGGACGCACGATAACTCTGCCAACGTCGATCGTCTATGGTAAAGTTTGTAGTGGGTATTGACTCTTCTTACAATCAATTATTTATAAAAGGTGTGTCTACGTCTGTGGGGGTGGGGGTGGGGACATAGGGGGAAACCTTGAACACAAGCTATCTTTTCTCATTTATCTCATAGAGCGAATCATTAACAGCTGCAGAGGCATATTACCTGCAGGAAACAAAACGGATTGTTCCTTTGTGACTACTTTTGCCTCAGATAGGAATTGAGCAGCTCATATGCCTTTGAACATCACCCCACCCCCTTTCTGCGATTATGTACGATGAAATCGCAGCTTCTTTGTCAGTTTCCTAGAAAGACAGACATTGTCTTTGAGTGTTTGCTTTTCTCTCAAGAATTATTGACTCACGATGATGTTTTAATCCGCATAAATCTCTTATTCAATTCACAATCCCCAAAGGCTCGCACCTTTTTCGGCTCAGTTCCTAAAGCCCTTATGGAGAATTTAACAATAATCTAGTCACTAGTACTAAGATATGTTCAAAAAAAGGCAATTATTATTATTATTGTTTTGAAATTTCAACGCCTTGCCTAACAATGATTAATAGCAGACGATAGATGATATCATTTAATACAAGATATGCCTGCAAAACAAGCATAATTTTTTAACGTTTTTCAGTCGAACAAAGGCTTGAGACGACGCGAAGTACGAGTGAAGCACGAGGTGGCGCGAAGTGTGAGTCACGCGCAAAGCGGCGCGAAGTGCGTGTCACGCGCTAGGGAAGTAGCGCATACATATGCCCGCCTTTGACTGTTTATTACACCTCTACATACCTATATACATGTACTTTATTTTGGCATCACAATGTCATGCGTGTAGACAGATGTTGACGCATGACAATTGGGAGAGGCTTTTGATCGATCGTAGACTTACATGACTCTTATCGACACAGACTTAAAATGAAACCTGTGCGCGTCACTGAAATGACATCCATAGGCGATTGTGTAAGGAAGACTGTGAACTGCTTGAATTAAGCTTGTAATAATTGGGCGCCGGCCAATCAAAAGTAATCTGTCTTTGGAGAAGACTAAAGAGGTTAAATTGATCTAAACAAACTGTGGTTCTTCTGCGTTTGCGGGGGGAGGGGGAGGGGAGGGGTACTTCAAGATTATTTGGTTTTATCAACTGAGTTGATAATGTAAACCATAAAGAGTTTCTTTGACGTGTCGAGCGTTAGTCCTTCGTAAGGGCATCTGCTAACACTAGAGACGGCAAACGAGAAAAACAAATCAAGTAAAAACACTAAAATAACCAAAACGAAACAAACTGGCGAAACGAATGAAAAAAATTAGGGAAAACGTCGGAAAATGATCTTGGCTAACATCCCGGGCGATGTAGAGTGGGGGGGAGGGAGGGGGCCTTCTTGAAAACGAGTAGTGCGCAATGAACAACTCATTCACAATTTTATAGTGCTTAAATGCTTTTAGTGGCTAACAATGGTTATAACAGTCTAAGACGCTTATATAAGGAGCATTTTTTTACTGAATTAGAATATTCGAAAAAGCAAGATCTTTATAACAACAGTTCTAAACTGAGACAAAAGATCTAAAAAAGCAACTTAGACGGAAAATACCGACTATATGCGTGTAATCAGGTATAAGTAGGTTATATCACTTCAAAGAAGTGCCATCTCTATTTATCCTTCCAATGGAGAGAGACACTATACTATAAGACACAATGATTTCATCTAATAATCAGACATAGGCTATTGTAACTTGTGAGTAACCTCTCATGAAACGTCTCACATCTACTGGGCAAATAGATTCTACTCTTCCTTTAGCAACGCGTAATATTAGTTTAACTACCATGCAATGAAATTAAATGAGATTATTTACTTGGCTATTTTATCCTCTATATCCTACGGCTTCGGATAACTCACAGTTAATTTAAGGGCCTGTTACACACTGAAGCCTGTTTATGGTAAAAATAACACCGACAGACTGATTGAAACCTACAAAACAATGCAACTCGGTGGTTTACCACAATATTTGAAATGCTCTTTTTCGTAAGCTTTGAAAAACAGCAGCTATTTTGTGGTCCAGAATTGATTCGTGATTCAGGTCCTGGTTTTTGATTCAATGATGGTGCGGGAATGTTGTCTGAAGGGTTCAGTACCATGACCACGCCTAACATGCTAAAGCTAAAAATCGCCATGATTGTCGCAAGCATTGCAAGAGTAAAACTAGCGAGGTGTACGTTTTAGTGAAGCTTTTTGCAGCAGGTAGGGACTCGAAATGTTTCAGCTCGAAGGCATCAAGCACAAAACCCAGGGTGAGACAGACCAATAAATCAACTGTTACGCATGATAAATCTATGTAGCTCAATAAACAGAAAAACTAAATCTACCTTCTTGACAAATGCGAGTATCTTTTTAGTAAAGCAGTTTGTCCATCATCATGACCAACACAGCGATGGTTCCACACAAGACAACTTTACCACCTGAGATCTCAGCAGCACCATTCCAGTTTGGAGGCTTGTCTGACACTGCCAGTGTCTGGGTGCTGTTGCAGGCTTTATCAGAACACGAGGCTAAGCTCTTCACCCAAACATTGTGTCCATCTACTTTCAAAGGTAGCGCTCCCTGTTTTACAGCTGAAGCAAACTCTTGGATGGTCTGGTTGAAGTTGACGGATGGAGTGGATGTAATGGCGATACCCAGGGCTTTCTTATCAGCTAATAAGACGACAATTTCCAGGTTTTCTGTATCTTCAACTCTCCCAGTATAGGCGAGCCAGTCCATTACATCTGAGTTCCACTTCAAGGCACTCGCAATGGCTGAGCCAACACCGTCTGCGAATCGACTTTGAGCATCAGACTCAGGAAGATTATCAGTTGAGCGCCTCGATCGCAGCAAAAACTTTTTAATCTTCAGCTTGATCACTCTGACTGGGCCATCTTTCAGCTCTCTGTAGCACTTTTTGATGTTAGCAGACAATCCACATTTCTCTCCTATGTTCCACATTCCCTTGAGAGATTCCCAGAGTGTGTCGACTTTGACAAAGGAACCCTTGATGGTCCAAAATATCTGGAGGTAATCGGAGCAGTCAAGATCACAGACGGACGGCGCACCATTTCCTGGATTCAGGTAACATGGTGTATGAGAGGCAAACGCTCTTTCTCGAATCTCCTTACAGGTTGGATCGACCCATGGCCGCAATAGTGGCACCAGTGAGACTTGGAGGCATTTACGAACTCCGTTAACCCAGTTTTGCCCGATTTGACTGAACTTTGCAAAGTTTTGGTCATACAGCTTGCAAAAATGTTCAGCGTATTTGATTGCATATCCATTACTTGTAGCTTCACAGGGATACTTCCTCTCCAGGCAGTTGCGATACCAATCACAGGAATCCCCTGGTGGACTATAGCACTCTGGAGGCAGTAATGTGGTAGGTGTGAGAGTGTTTGGATAAGAGGTTGGATTGCTAGGATTACAGGAACAATCACCAGTCACTGATCCATAGTTCTTGTTATGCACTTCAATCATACACTGGTACCAGCAATAAGTTGCAGATCGGTCTATACACCGGTGTTTTTGGTTGCTCTTTTGCTTGATGTATGCATCCGTCAAGCACGTCGCCCACTGGTATTCGTTATTGTAGCGGTATATTTGAATGCAATCAACAGTTCCAGCGGGTCCAGACCTCTTGTCACACTGGGTGGCCCATCCCAACTCAACCACAAGCAATAGCATAAACGTAAGAGCTAACATCGTTCAAAGCTATAGAACCTGGGAAAAGTAATCAGGACATTTTAAGATTGAATATCTATTCATACATTTGCAGTGCGAAAACGAATACAGTGGAAGCCCGCTAACTCGAACTCCCAAGAGAAACGAAAAATGATTCAAGTTATAAAGGGGGGGGGGAGGGAGAGGCTGCAGTTAGCTTCTTCTGAAAATCAGTTATCCTTTTAATGATTAATAGGGAATCATGTTTTTAACATTCTCGCAGAAACAACAGTAATTTCCGGACATGTAGTTTGTTTTAAAAGAGCCTTTTGATGAGAACGTTTAGTTTGGGAAGTTTAGCTAAATTACGTTTTCACTAATGTTATCACGTTTGTATCAATCGTGAATTGATTGGGACGTATCAATCAGCTATGTTCTGACACTCTAAAGTTCGAGATATTAGGGCAAATTTGAGCCTGGGAAAATTAAAGTTAGTCTGAGTTAATGGAGAGTCCGACTTAACCGAGTGAAATGACTGAAAAAATGGGGTAAATGCCTGAGGAAATCGGATCTTATTTGAGATAGCGGGGATTCGAGTTAACCGTGTTCAAGTTAACGGGGCTCTACTGTATTACTATAGCTTTGCTGCAAACAGCGATTTTAGAAACCCTTAACATTTCTACACTGTTATTATCGTTCAAGCACAGTTTGTTACATATGAATACGTTACCGTGTTTCGTATCACTCTTTAGACTCGATGATACTTTGCCACTTGTTCAGATACCTGATGGCAACAACTTTTTGTGCATTTTAATGTGTGCAATAATTCTCTTTTTTTACAGCTGGCTGCACAAGCAGAAGAAATAAAAGGAATCCTGTGTTTCAGTTGGTTGCCCGAGCAAAAATAAAATACGTCTACCTTACCTGCTCGGGTCACCCACTTTGTCCCGCGAAGCAAAAATATTGCGCTTTTCAGAAGGGTTACACACATTAAAATTGTTCCAAACTTCTTTCCTATCCATCTATGTTTTTACCACATTTTCACGAAGCAACGGAGTCGTAAAACACAACATTAGGTCTCATGAGCGATTTTCCAAGCCGCCTATCTAATGACTACCGGAAAACTCGTGAAAAGTTTTGCCTTTCCAACGAGTCGTTAAACTTCAATGCGTTCGAAAAAGCCACCAAAGCTAGTACCTCAAGCGAATTCGAAAGCCTTTAAAAAATCTGTCAATTCTGAAACAGTCAGCGCGCTCTATTTTCACTTCTTCCGCAAACACAAAATGAATGACTATTCATTTCATAATCTTATAAGCTTTCCTTCATTAAATGTCCCAGGCAAACAATTCTAGATGATTTCAACCTTGAACATACGAAGGATTCAGCTACATGTTGCCCCGCTGCCTATTCAAATTTGATTATTCACACGCGTGTAAGCTGGCGCTTGTGAAAGCGGGTCAGACTTACAAACGATTGTTTCAAGTAAGGAATTTTTCCATGTAGATTTGAGATTGTGATTATCTACAGAAAAAAAACTGTGAGTGCTAAAGACTCCCTTTGAAGTTATTGTTAGTGTAGAGACGGTGTCGAAACGTCCCCAAGATCCCCTCCCATCTGTGAACATATACCACAGGTCTTCCAGGCTCACGTCTCGAGGAAAAGCAAAAGATTACTTCATGAGAGAGTAACTCCGTCTTATAACAGGAATAACAGTGATGGAAAAGCAAGCCAAAAGCGGCAGAGAACACCACAAACCACAATGGACAAACAAAGAGTGAATAGGTTCTGTTATTCTTACGCGTAGAATGTTCATATTTCGAAATATTTAGCGTTGTAGATCGATCATATTTCTTACTCCGTACTATTCCTTACAGCATGTTTAAATTCTCAACCTAACTTAACTCCGCGTCAGATAGCACCTGACGCTTTCACTAATTTTAAAATCGTTTACTTTTCTGGACACGTAAGCTTGGGCCGTGAGCTTAAGACACCTGTGCATAGACCGGAAATTCGCTGTTGCTTCCGTAGTTTCCTAGAAATGCATTGTTTACCTGTATTCATCCACAGCTAAGACAAATAATAACTGGTTAGTCTACAGCTGCTGGCCTGAATCCATCTCTTATTCAATTTTTCTTTAGGCCCAGGCACCTAATATATTAACCGTGCTACAACTTAGCAAAGTATAGAAAGCTGGGTAATTTTCGACGACTTACCAAAGCGTATATGCGCGATGTCTTTCGTTTCACTATTTATCTAAGTACCCGAGGTCTTAAAGGTTAAATAAGCACTTATTACGTCCACTCGGCCGATTTCTGCAACCGACCAGTAAATATATTGTCGCCTAAAGAACTTACAAAGCGTTTCGACTTTACTATTAAACAAAATAGTTTTACAGCAAGCGCACACGCCGAGAACTTTGTGGTAAATTGAATCATTTTTCAAACTATGAAATGTCAAAGCCAGGTGAGAAGCTAAACCATAAAAAGATCCTCTTAAATTTCACTGCAACTTAAAAACTTAAAATATTTTCAACTGAAGAGCTGTGTACAGTGTTCGCATGGCGAAATTTGGCTCAAAGAAATGAAATTCCATGCTACACCCGCAATATTACTTTGTAAAACTGAACTCTGATAACAGTCCACGCAGAACACAAGTTTAGATTAATCAAATAAAGCCGAATGGTAAAAGATTGTAGCTGATTGTAGGAGCGGAAGAGGCCTTGTGTAGCCACTTTTGAAATTCACGGTGTCGTGACATCCTTCCCCGGTTGAATTAAAGATGCTATGATCATGTTCTCCAGCTATAATATAGACTTAGTTTCATCAAACCATATAATAAGCGGCGTACAAGAGCTGAACGACCCTGTGTTTTTCAAATCATAATGTGTTTCAATGTTTTATATAGTGCCTTTCAAACTGCGCTATTCAGAGCGTACACACTGATATAACTTGTGAAATCCCCTTTGTGAAACCTTCCAGAACCCCTATTAGAATGACTTGATCTACGAGACACCTCATAGGGAAAGAAATAAAGATTCGTCGTCGACCCAAAGCAAAATCCTTTCTGCAGGCCATCGCCTCCAAATAGCATAAATTGTCCATCTGAGCGTGTCAGGCCGCTCATATTACATCCACTGCTAACGAACTCGAAATCATTTCGCTTATATTTTATTTAACACTACTAACCGAATTAGAATCCAAAGGACGCACGGTAACTCTGCCGACGACGATCGTCTTCGGGGAAAGTTTGGATTCTTGGAGTCAATTAATAACAAATTAATAACAAAGGTGCGTCTACGTCTGTATGTGAGGGTGGGGTTATTAGGTCATGAGATAGCGAATCATGAATAGCTGCTGAGGCATATTACCTGCAGGAAACAAAAACGGATTGTTCCTTTGCGACTGCTTTTTCCTTACGAAGGAATTGAGCAGCTTATATGCCCTTGAACGCCACCCCACCCCCCTTCTGTGATTTTGAATGGTGAGAGTATAGTTTCCTTGTCAGTTTCCCAGAAAGACGGTTTGTCTTTGGGTGTTTGCTTCAAGTCTCTCAGGAAAGATCGGCTCGTGATCATGTTTTAAGACGCATAAATCTCTTATTCAATTCACAATCCCCAAAGAGTCGCTCCTTTCTTGATTGAGTATCTGGAGCTGTTATGGTTAATTTCAACAATAATCTAGTCATTAGTACTGAGATATTTTTAAAAAAGGCAATTATTCTTTAATTTCAACGCCTTGCCTTACAATGATTGATAGCAGACGATGGCGAATATCATTTAATACAAGATATGCCTGCAAACCAGGCATAATTTTTTAGCGTTTTTCGGTCGAACGAAGGCAAACACGAGGCGACGCGAAGTGCGAGTCAAGTGCGAGGCGGCGCGAGGTACAAGTCACGCGCCAGAGTTAGAGCGCAGAGATATGCCCGCGAAGAGGCCCTCGTTATTAGGGCTTCAGGACGTATGTTTCGCCTCCTGCGGAGAAGTTCGAGTTGCGTCGAGAAGAGGTTTACCGAGCCTCTGGCACTAATATGCAGACCTCTGACCGGCTCGTGTGGCTCAAGTCGTCATACTTTCCCGCAGGCGAAGAATAGCTGGTGCCAAGCACTAATAATTAGGAGCTGCCCACAGGCAAGAGAAGATAAACTGCTGCAGGCTAATATCATAGAAGTTTCTTCGCCTTATTAAAACTGACTTTTTATGCACGTGCTTTGTCGTGAAGACCACACCTTGAAAGTGAAGTATTTCGCTCATGAAGTATTCTACTGGCTTAAAACAGCAAGAATGGTAATACAGGTCGTTTTATGTGAAACGAGAGCGATTGGTATCGTTCACCTCTTAATTAGAGACCAGTCATTACTCATCGCCCGGGGGGTATGTTCTAGTGATCCCCCATCATTAGCAGACAATTTTCTATAGCCCTCCCCCCCTTCCCCGTTTATACCGTGTGTAGATCGCAACGCCTCACATTCTTTTTCGTTTGTTTATTGTTCTTGTGCAAGAGTGCTAATTGTAGTAAAATTTTGTGTGCGCTTTCTTTGTGTCATTGCGTAACGTTGCGTAACGTAGCATGTATTCAACCGTATTGTTCATCGTAGTTTGGTGCAGTTTTTGCAGTGTAGTTTCGTCGAGTGTAGTTTCGTATATTTGTTCTTTTCGCATCGCGCAGTTTGTTCGCCATTAGGCAGGATCTATAACATCGCAACAAATGTAAGTTTTGTATCATGTAGTTTTCTTCGTTGTTTTCGTTGTAGCTTTCCTTGTGTATTTAGTCTAGTTTATATTGTAATAGTTTTCGTTCGCTGTTTTATTTGCAGTTTTAACCGTACCGTGTCGTTTCGTTCCGCGTTAAAAATTGCGCTAGGATTAGTTAGTATTAGTCTTCAGTGGCAGTTACACTGTGTGAACGACGACTGACTCCTTAAAAACCACGTGATCCTCCCCAAACATCCTCTCCTCCCCCTCCCCCTCCCGCGGTGAATAATATTGACTGGTCCCTCAGGTACCAAATTATTAATCTCGTACCCAGATCCTACCGCGTAACTGTAACCACCAGCCGAAAGCAAATATGAAGAAGTTTGTAACCAATGATAAACATATAGTAGTGTGTTAAATTCAGTTCTGTAACTTTTTGCTTTGATTTAGGGTTCAGTACCTCGTAAAAAGAGCTATTCGTATGATACCTGTAAATTGAATTTTATAAACCAGTTTTGTTTTCCTCAAGACTAAAGGATAAATGAAAACGCTGGTTTTTTTTCTCTCTTTCTTTTAAAGCTGGGCAATAGAATGTAAACTCTTGCCCAAGGAGGGCAGAATTGATTCATAGACTGAAAAAAAAAAACATTTCCCTCCTCTTTATTTCCTTCCCACATGTCCTTACGCACGATATCTATACTCTCGGGGGATTTGATCGGTTACTAATCCAAGGTCAAGATCGACATTTTAGTCTGATAAATACTTAACAAAACCATCCAATGTAATATTGTGTTTAAAATAGAATCGCCTGTCATCAGTCAGTGCATATATATACTGACTTTAAACGCTTTGACTGTTTACATCATCATTACATCATTACATCAACTTCATTTTGGCACTATAATGTCATGCGTGTAGACAGATGTTGACGCATAACAATTGGGAGATGCCGTGTGATCGATCGTAATCTTAGATAACTCTTATCAAGACAGACTTGAAATGAAACCCGTACGCATCACTGAAATGACATCCATAGGCGATTGTGTAAGGAAGACTATGAACTGCTTGAATTGAGCTTGTAACAATTGGGGCCGGCCAATCAAAAATAACCTGTATTTGAAGAAAACTAAAGAGGGCAAGTTGCTCTAAACAAACTATGGTTCTTCTACGTTCGCAGGGGGGGGGGGAAAGGGAGGGGGAGGGGAGGGAGGTACTTCAAGATCGTTTGGTTTCAAAGAGTTTCTTTGACGTGTCGAGCCTTAGTACTTCGTCAGGGCGTCTGCTAACACTAAAGACAGCTAACGAGAAAAACAAATCAAGTAAAAACACCAAAATGACGAAAATGAAACAACCCGGCGCAACAAATTAAAAAATAAGTCAAAACCAGTCAATGACGAGCCTGTCTAACCCGTAGAAGATCGAAAACGTCGAAAAATGATCTTGGCTAACATCCGGGGCGATGTAGAGGGGGAGGAGGGTGGGGGCCGATCTTGACAACGAGTAGTGCGCAAGGAACAACTCATTAACAATTTCATAATGCTTAAATGCTTTTAATGGCTAACAATGGTTATAACAGTCTAAGACGCTTATATAATAGCTTTTTTTTACTTTATTTGAATAAGAATATTCGAAAAAGCATGATCTTTACAGCTACAGTTCTAAACTGAGACAAAAGATCTAAAAAAGCAACTTAGACGGAAAATACTGACTTTATGCGTTTAATCAGGTATAGGTAGGTTATATCACTTCAAAGAAGTGCCATCTCTATTTATCCTTCCAATGGAGAGAGACACTATACTACAACACACAATGATTTCATCTAATAATCAAACATAGGCTACCGTAACTTCTGAGTAACCCCTCTTAAAAAGTCTTACATCTACCAGGCAAATAGATTCTACTCTACCTTAAGCAACGGCTAATATTGGTGTAACTACCATCCAATGAAATTAAAGAGATTCTGTGCTTGGCTATTTTATCCTCTATATCCTACAACTCCGAATAACTCTCAGTTAATTTAAGGGCCTGTCACGCACTGAAGCCTGTTTATGGTAAGAATAACACCGACAGATTTGAAATCTAGTAAACAACTCGTTGGTTTACCGCAGTATTTGAAATGCTCTTTTTCGTAAGCAGAATTGACTCGTGTTCTATTCCTGGTTTTCGACTTAGTGGTGGTGCGGAATGTTGTCTGGAGGGTCCACTACCATGACCGTGTCCAACATGCTGATGCTAAAGATCGCTGTGATTGTTGCAAGCATTGCAAGAGTAAAACTAGGGAGGTCTACGTTTTAGTGAAGCTCTTTGGCAACAGAAAGGGGCTCGAAAAGTTTGAGCTCGAAGGCATTAAGCACAAAACCCAGCGTGAGACATAACATTAGAACAACTGCTACGTATGATAAGTACTAAATCTACCTTCTTGACAGATGGAAGTCTCTCTTTAATAAAGCAGTTTGTCCATCATCATGACCAACACAGCGATGGTTCCACACAAGACAAATTTACCACCTGGGATCCCCAATGCACCATTCCAGTTTGGAGGCTTGTCTGACACTGCCAGTGTCTGGGTGATGGTGCAGGCTTTATCAGAACACAAGGCCAAGCTCTTCACCCAGATGTTGTGTCCATCCACTTTCAAAGGTAGCGTTCCCTGTTTTACAGCTGAGGCAAACTCTTGGATGGTCTGGTTGAAGTTGACGGATGGAGTGGATGTCATGGCGATGCCCAGGGCTTTCTTATCAGCCAATAAGACGACAATTTCCATGTTATCTGGAGCTTCAACTCTCTCAGTATAGGCGAGCCAGTCCATTACATCTGAGTTCCACTTCAAGGCACTCGCAATGGCTGAGCCAACTCCGTCCGCGAATCGACTTTGAGCATCAGATTTAGGAAGATTGTCAGTTGAGCGCCTCGATCGCAGAAAAAACTTTTTAATCTTCAGCTTGATCACTCTGACTGTGCCATCTTTCAGTTCTCTGTAGCATTTCTTGATGTTAGCAGAAAATCCGCATTTCTGCTCTATGTTCCACATTCCTTTGAGAGATTCCCAGAGTGTATCGACTTTGACAAAGGAACCTTTGATGGTCCAAAAGATCTGGAAGTAATCGGAGCAGTCAAGATCACAGACGGATGGCGCACCATTTCCCGGATTCAGGTAACATGGTGTATGAGAGGCAAACGCTCTTTCTCGTATCTCTTTACATGTTGGATCGGCCCATGGCCGCAATAGTGGCACCAGTGAGACTTGGAGGCATTTACGAACTCCATTAACCCAGTTTTTCCCGATTGGACTGAACTTTGCTAAGTTTTGGTCATACAGCTTGCAAAAATGTTCAGCGTATTTGATTGCGTAACCATTACTTGTAGCTTCACAGGGATACCTCCTCTCCAGGCAGTTGCGATACCAATCACAGGAATCCCCAAGTGGACTATAGCATTCTGGAGGCAGTAATGTGGTAGGCGTGAGAGTGTTTGGATATGAGGTTGGATTGCTGGGAGTACAGGAACAATCACTCGTCACTGATCCAGCTTCCTTGCTATGCACTTCAAGCATACATTGATACCAGCAGTAGGTTGCAGCTCGGTCTATGCAGAGATGTTTTTGTTTGCTCTTTTGCTTGATGTATGCATCCGTTAAGCACGTCCCCCACTGGTATTCATTATTGTACCGTTGTATTTGAATACATTCAACAGTTCCAGCGGGTCCATACCACTTGTTACACTGGGCGGCCCATCCCAACTCAACCACAAGCAATAGCATAAATGTAAGAGCTAGCATCATTCAAGGCTGGATCCTGGGAAATATAACTAGGCCATTTTAAGATTGAATAGCTAATCATACATCTGCAGTGCAAAGATGAATACAATAGAAGCTCGCTAACTCGAACTCCTAAGGAAAACGAAATATTGGTTATGTTAACAGAAAGGGGGAGGGTGGGGAGGGAGGGTTCCAGTTTGGTTGTGTTGAAAATCAGTTATCCTTTTAATGATTAATAGGGAATCGTGTTTCTTCTATTCTCGCACAAACAACAACAATATCCATACATTTAGATGGTTTTGAGAACGTTTAGTTTGGGAAGTTTAGCTAAATATTACGTTTTCATAAATATTATCACGTTCGTATCAATCGGGATTCAAGATTGGGATGTGTCAATCAGCTATGTTCTGACACTTAAAACGTTTATCGACCGACGCTTTTAGTTCAAGTTTGAACTAGCTGATGATAAATGACTGGAAAAAAAGAGGTTAAATGCTTGAGGAAATCGGATCTTATTTGAGTTAACGGGGGATTCGAGCTGACCGTGGTCGAGTTAGCGGGGTTCTACTGTAATACTATTGTTTTGCTGCGAGCAGTGATTTTAGAAACCCCAACATTTCTTCACTGTTATTGTAACTCAAGCATTGTTTGTTACATATGGATACGTTACCATGCTTCATATCACTCTTTAGACTCGGTGATACTTCGCTGTTTGTTCAGATATTTAATGGCAACAACTTTTTCTGCATTTTTCTTTTTTATAGCTGGCTCCACGAGCAGGCGAAATAAAGGGAATCCTGTGTTTCTATTGGTTTCCAGAGCAGGCAAAATGCGTCTACCTTGCCTGCTCGGGTCGCCCACTTTGTCCCGTGAAACAAAAATGCTGCACTTTTTACAGACTTCCCAAGTTCACATGCGTTCACGTAAACTTGGGATGCCTGTACGCTTTTCAGCACGGTGCAGACCTCCAAATTATACGAAACTTCATTGCTTACTCACGCGCACATAAACAAATTTGAATAAACAGGTAACGTGCAGCTAAAATGCTTCACATTTTCAAGGTTGAAATCATCTTGAAAGTAGGAAGGAAAGCTTATAAGACTATGAAATAGATAATCATTCATTTTGTGTTTGCGGAAGGAGTGAAGGTAGAGCGCGCTGACTGTTGCCGAAATGAAAGATTTTTCTAAAAGGAATGGCAGAAACTTCTGGGCGGAAATTAATTGCGGCATGCAGATTCGCTTGAACTTCCAGTTTTGGTGGCCTTTTTCCAAACGCATTGAAGTTTGCCGACTCGTTGGAAAGGCAAGACTTTTCACGAGATGTCTGGTAATCATTTGTCAGGCGACTTGGAAAATCGCTCATGAAATTTAATGTTGTGTTTTACGACTCCATTGATTTAATTGACTATTTGATGAAACACGTATCACGTCCACTTAGCCAATTTCTGCAACCGACCAGCAAATATGTTGGCGCCACAAGAACTTATGAACCTTGTCGTCTTAACCATTAACTAGGTTAATTTTATAGCAAGCGCACACCTCAAAAACTTTGCAGTATATTGAATCATTTTTCAAACTCTACGAAATGTCGCAGCCACGTGAGAAGCTAAACCATGAAGAGATCGTCTCAAATATCGCTACAATTTTCAAAGCATAAAAGCAGTGAAAGTAGGGCGCGCTGATCGTTTCCAAATTGACAGATTTTTATGAGGCATGGCAGCAATTTTTTGGCGGAAATTAATTGCGACATACGGATTCGCTTGAACTACCAGCTCTGTTGGCTTTTTAAACGCATTGCCGACTCGTTGGAGAGGCAAGCTTTTCACAATAGTCATTTGCTAAACGACTTGAAAAATCGCTAATGAAACATCATGTTGAGTTTTACGACTCCATTGTTTTAATTGACTATTTAACTTAGGCCAATTTCTGCAACCGACCGGCAAATATGTTGTCACCAAAGGAGAAAACGTGTCTCAACACATAACTAGGATAATCTTATAGCAAGCGCACCCGCCAAATACTTTTTAGTTTATTGAATTATTTTTCAAACTCCACAAAATTTCGAAGCCACGTGATATTCTAAACCATGAAATTTCACAGCAATTTAAAAAGCATAATGTTTTCAAAGAACTGTGTACAGTGTTCGCATGGCCAAATTTGCTCGAAGAAATGAAATTCCATGTTACACACGCAATAATACTTTGTTAAACTGAACTCTAATAACAGCCCAGGCGGAGCACAAGTATATATTAATCAAATGAAGCCGAATTGTAAAAGACTCTAGCTTATTGCGGAAATAAACGAGGCTTTAGGTTGCTACTTTCGAAACTCACGGTATAGTGACATCTTTCCCCAGTTGAATTAAAGAAGCTATGATCATGTTCTCCAGCTATGATATAGACTTAGTTTCATCAAACCATATGTAATACAAGAGCTGAACGACCGTGTGTTTTTCAAGGCATGATACGTTTCAACGTTCTATATAGTACCTCCAAACAAACTGCGCTATTCAGTAGCATATTGCAAATTGCACCTTAGTGTGAGCGTACAAACTGATATAAATTTTGAAATCCCCCATGTGAAACCTCCGAGAATTCCTATTAGAGTGGCTTGATCTACGAGACACCTCATAGAGAAAGAAATGATGATTCGTCGTCGACCCAAAGAAAAATCCTTTCTGCAAGCCATCGCCTTCAAATAGCATTAATTATCCCTCTGAGCGAGTCGGGCCGTTTATATTTCATCCACTGCTAACGAACTTGAAATCATTTCGCTTACATTTTTATGTAACATTACTTACCAAATTAGCTTTTATAAATGAATCCAAGGGACGCACGATAACTCTGCCAACGTCGATCGTCTGGGGTAAAGTTTGAAGTGGGTAGTGGCTCCTCTTGGAAACAATTATTAACAAAGATGTGTCTACGTCTGTACGTGGGGGTGGGGACATGAGGGGAAATCTTGTACACAAGCTATCTTTTCTCATTTATCTCGATAGCGAACATTAACAGCTGCAGAGGCATATTACCTGCAGGAAACAAAAACGGATTGTTCCTTTGGGACTGCTTTTACCTTGAGTAGGAATTAGGCAGCTCATTTGCCCTTGAACACCACCCCACCCCCTTCTGTGATTATGTATGATGAAATCACAGCTTCTTTGTCAGTTTCCTAGAAAGACAGACATTGTCTTTGAGTGTTTGCTTCAAGTCGTCTCTAGAATGATTGGCTCGTGATCATGTTTTAATCTGCATAAATTTCATATTCAATTCACAATCCCCAAAGACTCGCTCCTTTTCTGGCAGAGCAACTGAAACTGTTATGGTAGATTTCAACAATAATCTAGTTATTAGTACTGAGATATGTTAAAAAGAGGCTATGATTTTTTTTTTCAATTTCAACGCCTCGCCGAACAATGATTAATAGACCGTGATAGCGAATATCATTTAATACTAGATATGTCTGCGAAACAGGCCAGGAGCCCAAGTAATGGGCTCCTGACAGGCATTATTTTTTTGCGTTTTTCAGTTGAACGGAGGCAAGCGCGAAGCGACGCGAAGTGCGAGTCAAGCGCGAGGCGGCGCGAAGAAAAACTCGTGCCAAACCCCTAATAACGAGCAGCTGCCAGCAACCAAGAGAAGATAAACTGCTGGAGGCTAATATCATAGAAGTTTCTCCGCCTTATTAAGACTGACACCTCTTGTTTGCGCATTTGTCGTGATGACTACACTTTGAAAGTGAAGTATTCCGCTCATGGGTTTGAGTTTTCAAACACTTATATCGTCTCATATCCAGACCTCTCACCGCAAAGTGGTTGTAAGTTACAATTACACGGTAAGATCTGGGTACGAGATAAACACTTATCTTGCTTTGGCGCGCTGCTTAATAATTATCTTCACATAATGCGAACGTTCTGAAGCTAAACTAAGATTCAATGGTTCTATCTTGTCACCTATTCCCTAATCACTACTCCGCAGTCCACACAGCATGATTGTGACTTGTCTTTCCAGTTGATGATGCGGACAGGCTTGTGAATAATGGTGTTCTTACCAATGGGGCTTTACAGAGGGGCTGTCTGATGTGGCGTCAAAAGGGAAGAGCCCCAATGTAAAGAGTGCCTAGGCGTGCCTGGCTTTCAGGATATTATTCGCTTCCGTACCTGTTCCAATCCCGAGCTCAGGGTCATTTTGGCTCCTTTCCAGTGGAATTGTCGCCAATTATTTTTATGTGGGGACCATACTGCTAAAAAAAAGGAGCCAAAACGACTGTGGGCGTTCCTGCACTACAGCCTGCAGTCTACAACTCCCATGATGCCTTGCTATATTATTTGTGTGGGGGGCCTGGGTAAGAGTATCCGAAAGAAGTTGTCGAGTTGAAGACTAAAGGAAATGCATCCGATCCTTGTGTTATATTTTGCCTTCAAAGAAGAAGGAAGAGCTATTGAAAAGAGGAAGAAGTCCTACCAATGGTAAGAACGCTAACCTCATGTTATCGGCTGAATGAAATCTTTGCGTTTCTAACTTATCAACTCTTTACGTCCAAAGAAAAATCAGAATGTTTTAAAATATAACGTCATTTTGCAAACTTTAGGATGCTATCAGAGACAAGTTCCCAACAGTTTAACAAAACTGAGGAAATGATTTGGTCTGCAAATCCTTGTGCAGTACGCGTACCTAAATTGCAATTGTGTTTTAGGCCAGGCACGCGTAGACACTCGATTAGTTCTCAGAACTATGTGGGTGTCCCAAACTCCTCACAATTAACACTTTATATTGATGTTTATAACGCTACTGTAATAATTATAACCTCCTCTAATACACTGTAATTGTGTGAGTTTAAATAAAATCGATTTGATTTGAATTGAAATTGATTTGTGTTTCAACATTTTAAACACATTTTCGCATATTTGACTTTTGCAATAATGTGCTAGCAATATAGGTTGCTTTTTTACCCAGAGCCTTGATTAGGTTTGAATTATAATTTCATGTGAAAATGGATCACTTGCTTATAATTGTCCGTCAGTGATATTAAGAGTTATTTCCCAGAGGTTAGGTTATAAGCATTTCATCTGAGGTTGTTTTACTTACATCAGACAGATTTACCTTTAGGCTTGCCTCCTCATAGGAAGATTCTCTTTGGGGAAGTTTCTTAAACCAAGCAAAATACAGATTGCTCCCTCTCCCTCCCTTCCCATACTTATGACCCACTTCAGGTTTTTATTTTTCACTGTGTAAATAAATCAAAACAGGGTAAGGGAGCACATTTGGTGTAACTGCGTTTTGATTGAATGATTGAATGATTGATTGATTTACTATGTTTTTGTTTTGTTTTCTTGTCGTTTTGTTTTTTTCCTCAAAGCTGGGTGTCTGGCAGAGCCCCTGATGGCAGAATCCAACACTACATGTTAAAGATTCGAGACTAGTTGTGTGCAAGGAAAGATCTAAACAGGAATGGTGCACTAAATGACTTTGACTTTGTCAGTGAACAGAGTGAAAAGGGAAGTAAGGAGTCAAGGTTACAAGATGCTTCAAACCTATCACTGAGGAAAACTGGGGAGGAAAAGTTTAAATCAACTCTCTGTTATAGAAGCATTTATGATTCCATTAATTTTTCTGAGAGAGGATACTTGAATTTAAATGGCAGCAGGAATTACAGAAAAGCAAATCGGCAAAATACTGTTGAAAACATGAAAAAGCTGTACCACACTTCCTTATAAACTCACAATTTATTTGCTTGATTCTACAATTTGCCACTATGCTTCAGTTGACTCCCACTCACAATTCTTGGCCTATTACAAGGAAACACACTCAACATCCTGTTGTAAGCAGGTGGAACAGTGCCTTATATGGGATGACAAAACATGTGCCACATACATGTTTGCTTAGTTATGTATGAATAAACAAAATCCCTTATAAATGTCAATCAAATTGAGAATAATTAACTTATTGTACAGTTTCCAACAATACAGGGTCTTTTCTTGGATATATTTGGTAATGTCATCATTGGAACCTGCAGTCTGTATCATTCACTCTTAGAATATCACTCAGTTATTGTGCTGTATCTCAAAATTAACAAGAACACTTACCTATTAAATTTAATTGAACAATAGAGACTATTTCCATTTCTCCACTAATGTATTTCCACAAAAATTGTTGAAGGGGTGTATGGAGCAATTTTCACTTGATCTCTGATGGATTGTTAGGTTGTCCTTTCAAATTGTCTTTGATTCAACTTTAAGACAGAGGGAGAGGTACCTGTTGCATCAGGGGTCACACATGGCTTTATTTTGTGTACCCCTTCAATCACAGGCCTCATTCAGAGGGTGTTTTGGTTAATGCCCTCTCTTAGCTGCAAACTAATCCTTCAAACTTTAAATAAAAAAATATAAGAAAGAGGGAAACCTTTCAAAGATGCCAACTGCAGGATTTTTAAATCTGGATACTCGTATTTTTCATCCCAACTTGAAAGCTAAATCCACATGATTTGACCTACTAGTTCTTTAACTACTTTTGACTGCATCATTTAACCACCAATCAAGACATATCACTTTAAATAGATTGCCATAGGAACAGAATGTGAGTTTAGTTGGAAAATGAATAAGAGGAAAGTGTTTGATATCTTTGTTTCGACTTTGTGAGAGATGTAAGAAATAGGAGCCAATAACTTTAGAATATGCATGGAAGGCAAAAAAATTCAATGTTTTCAGGATAAGCAGAAGTTAAGCTGAAAAAAAAACTAGTGACTAACAGGCTCCTAAAAAAAAATTTGGTTTGCATTCCCCTAGGAAATCTTTAGGGAAAGTTATTGTTGTGTCACATGCAATCTTAAAAGAGCTGATTTATTTCAAGATATCACATAATTATACAAATTTTCAGTTTTCAAAATGACGGGAAACAAATTTTTCGTCATCCCCCCGAAGAAAGTCACTAGTCAGCACATTTTGACAAGGAAAATCCCACAGGGATCTGGGGAACAACATGGACGGAAATGTGGAAAAGTTCCGCTCAGATCCCCCGAAAGTGTCCTTTGTCATTCACGCACGTGTTTCCAAATATGGAAAAATTGCACCATTTCGCGCAGTAACCGGCAACAAAGTGCGCGCTTGTCTCAAAATACAGAGTTAAACGAGAAAATCCCTTGAAATTCAGGATCGATTTTTATTTTGGGATATCCTTAAAGTACAGCTAGTCTAATCTGTTAGATTCTCGGTTTTCTCGCCAGTTCAAGGAAAACCAGGCATTTTAAAACAAACTGAAAAAACGTCGATCATGTCGTCTGATAACACAACAGAAGCGGCCGATAGAAATGTGGAAATATGGAAAATCAAGAAACTCATAAAAAGTTTAGAAGCAGCCAGAGGGTGAGTAGTAAAGATTTCTTATTGTGGACTACGTTAAATGAGGTAGAACCATCGTGAAGATTAGTTCGAAGTTCATTCGTGATTCAATGGCTTTTACAATATCAACAGTACAGTAGTTATTCTTGACCAAACACTGTCTAAATTGTTGATGGCATATTTTAATGAAACCGATAAGTCTTTCGGTTAACCCTCATTTTAGAATTATATTCAAAGAAAATATATAGAAAGAGGGCTGCCCTGGAGTTTCATGTTTGCGAAAGAACACACCAATTCAAGTTTAAACTTTTCGCTATCGACTTCTTTTTGATAAAATACGCATCTTGTCGATCGGTAAAGGAACATCTCTTATTAAACAAAAGTCAAAGAATGGCTCGGTGTATTTTTCAGGTTATTCTGCTTGTGATAATTTCAAGGCAATATATCTAAATTAATTTTTTCTCAGAAAATAAAATGAGTTCAAGTTTCTCTTCGGTTAGGTACAAAATTATGTATTGTATACGTGTATGCACATAATATATTGTCGATGATGACGATGGTAGTGATAATGACGATAATAAGGCAAAAGAACTCCCTTATATCAGGGTTGGGGGGGAGGGGGCTGGTAATGAATTGAATTTCTCAGTATACTCAAAACCATTTTGATTAAAATTGCAATTGCTTCAACTAATCTTCCATAGAAATATCAAAAGCACCCTATAGCAATCAACTTCCTGCTTATTGGATAATTCATGGAAGAAAAGAAACCCTTAACCTGGTTAGCAGGCAAGCGTGAGCTCTTGGTCAGTGAGATAGGACCTCTCACATTTTCAGACATTTGTAAAATTCTCAACATTATCACACTCTATGTTATGATGAGTGTTTAAGCATCTCAGATCATGCTTCCACAACTCTCCAACTTAAAATCATAAAAGCTATTCACATTTAATGGGAGCAACCTACACTTAATCATCAACTTTATCATGTTGATTTGAAACTTTCCTTGTAATTGCATTCATTGATCTGTTTTTGTTGTTTGTTTCATCCAATCAGCATTTTGTTACACACTTTAAAGTCAACTTTGTACTTAGTATAAATTAGAACTGAAGATGACAGAAGAACTTTCCAAACATGTCTTTAAAAAATGTTATATATGTTCTTAAATTTGTGGCATATCTGCTGCTATCCAGACCTTTTAGCAGGTGTGACTGTAGTGAACAATCTCGCTTACTGTTAGATAACATTTTGATGTCTGTAGATCCACTGCAAATTACAAGCATTGATTGACATTTAATACTTTGCTGTATTTTTTGCTTATGTTATATCTTGTTCTCAGGAATGGAACAAGCATGATCTCTCTGATCATCCCTCCAAAAGATCAAATCTCTCGTGTAGCCAAGATGTTGGCAGATGAGTTTGGAACTGCATCAAATATCAAGAGTAGAGTGAACAGGTGACTTCATGTTACCAAGTATAGTTTTTGAAGATATAAGTTTTACACATAAAAATTTTCTTAAAAAACTTTACATTTTGTCTTAGTCATTCAACAGATTTTTCACTGAATTACTATTTGCAGGTTGTCTGTCCTTAGTGCAATCACGTCTGTACAACAAAGGTTGAAGCTCTACTCAAAAGGTGTGTTTTGCTGCTGCTCTTATACTGTATCTTTAACTAACCTTTTAGCAACCTGTGATGAGCACAAATGGCCTCATGTATCATGAAACTTAACATCTGCTTCAGCACTACATCTACCTTCATCAAATCTTTCAGAAGACCCAGACTTTTACTCCTTCCTCCTGCTGTCCCATGTTTCATTACCAATTTCTTCCCAGGCACCTCTTTGCCTGCTCACCTTTCTCCTTCCCCAGGTTTTGTCTGTTTTGTCTGTTCTTGTCTGTTATCATCCTTCCCTTCCTACTTTCCTCCATGCACCCTCTTGTCTCACCTTTCTATTCACATGAAGCTTCTATTCATCCCTCTTCTTTGAAAAGAGGAGTTTGTCATTTCCCTTCCTTCAGAGGTTTTTGATGGATGCACATGTAACCTCCAACAGATGTTATGGATAACTCCACTAGTCATATGTTCTGGTGACATTGTACCAAGCTTTCCTCTAGTTGTTATGATTAAGTGACAATGTGAGAAATCTGTTACAAGTTGTATCCTGTGGAGGAGTTTGGAAAATAAAAAAAGAAACTATTTAATGTGATGTGCACACTCCTGATATTGCATTACATTCCACTAATTCTAAACCTCTATTGTTTCAGTCCCCACAAATGGCCTTGTAGTCTACTGTGGAACAATTGTTACTGAAGATGGCAAGGAAAAGAAGGTCAACATAGACTTTGAGCCCTTCAAGCCAATCAACACATCATTATATCTCTGTGATAACAAGTTTCATACTGAGGTTTGTTAGCAAATCAAGCATTGTACAGTGTTACTGTTCACATGTAGTAATGACTCAGATGAGGAGTTGATAGTTGATAGTACTTAAGTGTGCTGGAGGAAGTGTGATTTGTGTTTTCATCGATCGGAAATTGAGTAGAGTAGAGTACTTAGTATATGCCTTTCAAATATAATATTAAATCTTCCAAAACCTTGAATAAAATTATCTTCAAGCAGAGTCAGAATTGCTTGTTTGATTTTCATTGGAAGAATAACAAAGGCTTTGACTTGTCTGGTTAGCAGGCAGGTGTGATATAAACTGAACAATTCTGCTTACTGCCAGACTACAGACATACTCAATCCCCTCTATCTCTTCACATCTGTGTTCTGTAGTAAAGAATGCACATTAGCGTGTAATTATATTAGTTCTGATATAAATCTCTGTAACAGTGTTCCAGGGTTTCCCTTCTTGTGTGCTTTGAAATGAAATTGAAAGTTTGAAATTCCTAAGACTTCCTCACATAAGTAAATTTTCATTCATTTTTTGGATGAGTTTAAAAATAGTTATGATATTTATGGTCATAAATTTTTTTTCCATCTGAATGATCAATCTGTAAATTAACCCTGACAATGAAAATATTACATTTTATAAGTTGTATGCAAGTGTATTGTGTAGTGGTAAACATTTGTTTTGCTTTTATGCAGGCCCTGAATGCCTTGCTGGCAGATGACAACAAGTTTGGTTTTATTGTGATGGATGGTAATGGTGCGCTGTTTGGTACACTCTGTGGAAATACCAGAGAAGTTCTTCACAAATTCACGGTAGATCTTCCAAAGAAACATGGTTAGTAAAATAATCAAGGAATAACAGTGCTTTCAATTAGACCTGGCTTCTGCTGGAGCTCCAGTAGGTATTCTGTTGTGAATTGCCAGGTATACTTTGGACGCTTTCAAGCAAACTCACAAAATGAGGCTTAAAACACCTTGAGATCTTCTAGAGTTCTTTCAGTTGACTTTTGGGTTTATAAACAAGTTTTGATTAAAATGACTACATGGTATTATCTTATCACACATAAGCCAGTATATATTTCATACATTTCCAGCCAAGAAAAAAGATTTTGAGTTTCTAAGAACACATTCACTCAGGACTTTTTGTGTGAAACTCAGGGAGCAGACTTGCATGTAAGCAAATGGAAGATTTTGATCAGAAATAAAATGATCAGTGAAACAATTGTTATAATTGAGACAAATATGTAATGATTGTCTCTGGAAGTTTAACACCAAAACTTTGTTTGAAGCCAGTTTATCGTGAATGGAAGTATTGAGACAACAAGAGGGAAATTCTCTGGCAGCTGCTTTACTGGGGTAGCCACCTTCTTCAATCCTATTGAAAATCCTGATTTAGGATAATTTCTTGCTGACATTCTCTAAAAAGTAACTGCTCTAGATGATTTCCAATGCCATAAGCAAACCACTTTGACTGTATATTACATGGTCTAATTTTTTACTTTCACAAACAGAATTACCCAAATAGGGCAATTAGAGTGTACATGTATGCATGGATTGGAACACTGAAGCCTTATTTTACTTTTTTAACTAATACATTATATTTCATTTTTTTAGGACGTGGTGGACAGTCTGCTCTTCGTTTTGCTCGTCTGAGAATGGAGAAGCGTCACAATTATGTCAGAAAAGTTGCTGAGACTGCTGTTCAGCTTTTCATCACAAATGACAGGGTATTTAGTTATTTTATTAAAATCAGAATTTCAAAATGTCAATCCTCTCATGTCACCTAAGAAAATAAGACTTCTTAATCTGAAAATAAACATAACATTAAAAATTGCAGTAGTAGTGGGGGTAATAGCTATTGTTAGATGCTGTTGATATATACAACAAGCATAGAAGTAGTGTCATATTTCATTTTTGTGTTTTGTTTTAGCCAAACATAACTGGTTTGATTTTGGCTGGATCTGCTGATTTTAAGACTGAGCTGAGCCAGTCTGACATGTTTGATCAGGTGAGCTTTGTAGTTTGGTGATTTCCTAGAATCAGCAGGTATTTACCCATTTTCTTCACAAAGGACACAACAAACTAGCTTTCACCATCTTTTTAAGGGGGAAATGCCTTTTGCTAGTGTCTGGTAATGATACATGTAATTGTGTGAGAGTTCATTGTTATTTTCCATAGCTTTGGGAGAAAGATAAGTCCTCTGGACCCTAGGTACAGTAGTTTTTAAGTTGACTTTTTATGTCTAGCAATCAAATAACAAAAGTTGTTGAACTGGTGCTAAAATATCTTTTGTATACAATGACAGCTGTTCCCCATGCATTGTGTAGTCTTCAGATGTATGGTTTTATGCTGTCTAAAGTAAACCTGTGTTTGAGTCTTTTCACTCTCCTTTGTTAATTTGCTTTCATAAGGCAGATCTTTTACTCATTGGAGAATTTTGCAGGCTCATACAACTTTTATAATATTTTTTCACAAACATACAGGTGTATTCATTTTGCCAAGTTGCACCATATATTCTTACTTATTTTGCAATTTTAACTCGCCTTGATACTGTGTTCATATTTCTAGAGGTTGCAAACAAAAGTTTTGAAGCTTGTTGATGTTTCCTATGGTGGGGAGAATGGTTTCAACCAGGTTAGTACAATTTTAATTACATACAGGTATTCAATTCTATTAAAAAGAGTGGAAACATGCAAACTTATTTTGACTACCTGGAAAAAGTATGAAAAAGGGTTATGTCAGGAAAATGTAAAGAAGACTTGTTTGGTTGTTTTTTGGCTTTGCTGAAGTGCAATAAGTTTTTACTTTCTAGGAGAGATCTCTGGCAGTGGAATCAATGTACAAATGTAAATTACTTTGGCAAAAGAGTTTTCTTTGAGTGATCAGAAAATAAACCCTCAAAAACACAAGTTAAAATTAGATCTCAAAATTTGTTTTAATTGTCAAATTAAAATGAACATTAAACGTTGATAGTGCAACCATTGTTACTGGGGTCAATAAAACAAACCAACCATTCTGCTAACAGGAGAAAAACAATGAGTTCCATCCAAAATCATTGCTGTTTTTGCATTCTTTGTTCTTAAGTATTGATTGGTACTGTTACATTTAGTTGAAATTGTTGTTAGCCTTCGGTTGTGACATTGGTGAATTATGCTTTTGTGACCTTGGTTACAGAAGTGGCACAGTTATTTTGTATTTTGATCATTTGCATTGTTTTTGTATGATGCACATTTCTACTTTGCACATCCTATAGCCTTGTTTCACATCACTGTTATTGTAAGTTTACACAAATATCTCTATGTTACAATATGATGTTTTATTTTAGGCGATTGAACTTGCCTCAGAGGTACTAGCTAATGTCAAGTTCATTCAAGAGAAGAAGCTCATAGGTATGTATCTGAGACAAGCTCTAACTTAAGGGTGCATTAAATTAAATTCCATTAGTAGTGAAGGAAGTGCTGATTCCAATTTTGTCTAATATTTGTTAACCTCAGCCTTGCTATTGAGTAACTTATTAGTAATTAACTCTGAATCAAATGATTTCTTCCTCTTTTAACTTTTAATCTTGGGGTGGATTGCTATATTCACACAAAATTTATACGTACACCTGTACATGTTCAGTGTAGCTGGAAACTTATTTGAGTGAAATCTGTTGGAACACAAGGAGTGAATATTTAACATCATATTTTTTGATAAACAGGGAGATACTTTGATGAAATCTCTCAAGATACTGGAAAGTACTGCTTTGGTGTGGAAGACACCTTAAAGGTTTGTTAGTAGGTACAACTAGCTAGTGTGAACATAAATCAAGACAACATTGTACAGTGCTACATTTATCTGTTCTAAAACAGGCCAGAATAAAAATGGTAGAAAACTAAGAAAACCATGATTACCAGAAATGATTTTGTTACCATGTTTCAAGGGAAAAGTCAATCAGGCAGCAGAAAAAAATGGAAAAAAAGGTCAACAGTTTTTGAGTTTCTGAGTAAAGTTTCAAAGTGATCCTCTCAAGATTCTATGCACATCATTTCTGAATGGTTAGAGGCAGTTTATTTGCCAAAGCTTCAAAAGTGAAATTTCTTTGAATAATGTTCATTTTAAGTCAATTTATTCTATTATAGCTGATATGGTTTTGTTTCTTGAATTTTTTTTTGTCTTTGTAAAAGGAAAGGAGGAAATAAAATAATTATTGGCTTTCTTTTTTGCTTATCAGGGACTCGAAATGGGAGCAGTGGACATCCTCATTGTGTGGGAAAATCTGGAAATCCACCGAATTGTTTTGAAAAATCATCAAACAGATGGTAAGCGAGAAATCACCTTGCAAAGCACAAAACTGTTTAATCTGCTGGTTTACAGTAAGAAAGATTGTATGCTGATTCATAAAGTTCTTAGAATGTTCTGATGCTAGCACTGGTAGCCACAACTTATAGGATTGGCCAAGTCCTTTCTTGAGCAAGCTGCCGATGTGAAAAGCAAAAATCATCTTTGGGGTAGAATTTCTGACAAGGACATTGAATGACAATGGATCTCAGTAGAAAGCTCAATTTTTTGTACTTTGCCTGAGGCTATTGTGTACTTGCAGTGACTGTAGATGTGTATTTGGTTAGTATGTTGATGCATATTATGAAATAGCCGATTAAATTTGTCCATAGAGGAGAAAATCCTTCATCTCAATCCGGAGCAAGAAAAAGACAAGACATACTCCATAGACAGTGAGGTACAATGAATTAGTTCTTTTAATCCTAAGTAGCAAAAACATTGACAGATAAAGCCTGGATCACTAAGGAACATTTAGTGCACCTTTTTCTCTGTTTACGAGCACATGAGTACTGTGTTACTTTCATGGGCACAACTGTGCTATGAGAGAAACCTCTGGTTTTCTACTTAGAAAGTCAAGATTATATGTTGTCCAAGACTATCTAACATAAACTTTCATCTAGTCATGTTGAGTGGTTTAACTCATAATCTGTAATTTTTTTTTTATCTATTAGACTGGAGTTGAGTTAGAACTGATAGAAAAGATGCCTCTGCTGGAGTGGCTTGCAAACAATTATAAGAGTTTTGGTAAGTGAGTGCACAGTATGTATTTGATGTGTCATGAAAAAACTATTGAGTAAAGATTTCTGATGAGTATTGTTAAAGCAGACTTTTTTAAAACTGTTAATTGACTGCAATGCCAACCGAGATTGTATGAGTCGTGATCTTTATTATAATTATTATTTTTATCCCCTAAGGTGCAACATTGGAAATCATAACAGACAAATCACAAGAAGGAGCACAGTTTTGCAAAGGCTTTGGAGGAATTGGAGGTGATGCTATGGCTTGTTGTTTATACTCTCAACAACTTTAGAAGAATCATGTATCAGAACAGCAGGTTTTTAGGTGTTTCTCATCTTTCTCTGATGGTTCTTCGTTGGGTTACCTTCCTCTTCAAAGACCAAGAGTCTTTAATGTCTATTTGCTTGAAGATAGAGTATGACAGCTTCCTTTCTGATGTGTTAAGTGTTGCTGAGGTAGGTTAAGTCTGTGCTCAAACCAAGTGTCTCACCAGTGTGAGCTTCTACCAGTTTCCTCAACATCAAGGCGACTACTCCTCCCTGGATGGGATGCTATTCCATAACATGGTTACCCATCAGTATGTCATCAGGCTTCCCAGACAATTCACCCTGCTACCCATTATATACTTCTGGGTGGAGAGACGCACTGTGAGGGGAATGTGTTTTTCCTAAGAACACAACGCAATGACCCAGCTAGGTCTCGAACTTGGAGTCCAGTGCACTAACCATTACGTATTTTATTGTGTTCGATTTTTGTTTATTAGCCTCAATGATCTAGTTGTAACAGTTGTTTCATTTTTTTTTTCCCAGGTATTCTTAGGTATCGGGTTGATTTTCAATCCATGGACATGGACCCAGATTTGGAGTATTATGAGGACAGTGACGATGATTAGCAGGAGGAGAATCTTTCTTTTGTGTTGCATCTAAACATCAACTATGAATTTACAACCCTTGTTATTGTAAGAACGGTGGCATCGTTCGGTTTAATTAAAATATTATATACCTCTCAGCCCTCTCAGGTTTTAGCAGACAGTCACAGGTTATTAAGCGAATCGATTGATGCTAACCAAGGAGACGAAGATGTCATTTATGTGGGCCTCTATATATATTCGTTTGTCAGCAGTTAGTATACTGTGCAGGAGTGCTGATAACTGATTGTCTAATACAAATACAACCAAACAGTAATGATTTAACTTGGCCAAACCAGGCGTTCGGGCCAAATTTTGCGGTCATTGCTGTCATAGGACTGGAGTATTGATGAACCTTCCCAGATGGCGAGGAAGCTCCTTCTCAGCAATTGATAAAGTAGTCGTGGGAATTACTAATTTTTCCATGTGACAACTGAGGATACGAAGGATTTCTGCTCCTCCGTTAAACGCAGAGTCTGAAAGAATTAACATAGAGCGCTCTATTAAGTGTAATACAACCAAAGCTAAACATGTCTCAGCAGCCAATCGTACAAGAGACAGAAATATGACACGAAGCCAACACGAACTCAAAGTCGTAGAAACGTGTAGAAGACCAGAAGCGCGAGTAAACGCGAGTACTAAATCATGGTTAAACTGTGGGTAACCTGCGAGCAAGTCCGCGGAATTATGAAGTATGGAGTATAAAATAGTGTCAAACGCTCGGCAAACCTCTTCTCGTGGGTTGATGATTTCTGATATTACGTTGGAGACCTGCAGTTTCTGTAGTTAGCTTATCTTTAATGATGTATCGAGATGATATAGAAGGGTTATTTGTTCATTAAAAGGGTTTTACTTTACATTTTTACGATACACTGTTTAAAGGTCGGGGAAATAGAGTGAAATGTGTTTTGTGCGACGGTGCAAACTGTTTGAAAGTCTGACCTCTGTAAAATGAAATTGGAATAAAATGGTGATTCACGTGCGTATCACTTGTGGAAAATCAAAATAGATAACTTTTTTCGTTCATTTATTATTTTTACCAAAAAATTGGTAAGGAAGTTCAGTTATGTAAGTTTTTGATTCAACAATTGTAAGATATGTGTCAACTGCAGATTAAAATGAGAGTTAGTGTTTGCTTGATAATTTCTCTCTTCCCTTTTCTTTCCTTCCTTTTTCTGTTTAGGTCTTGTTTTGTCTCGGGGTTTTCTTTCTACTTTGTACTCGTGGCTAAGTTTGGATTTTGGACGCTAGTGGCCTATTTTATATTTTGGACCCTTGTGGCTGATCTTGGATTTTGGATAATAGTGGCTGATGTTGGATTTTGGATAGTAGTGGCCGATTTTTTATATTGGAGACTAGTGGCCGATTTTGTTTTTGGACATTAATTTAGTGGCCGGTCTTGGATTTTGGACACTAGTAGCTGATTTTGGATTCTGGAGACGAGTGGCTGATTATGGATTTTGGACACTTGTGGCCGAATTTTGATTTTTGGACATTAGTGACATTTTCGGACACTAGTAACTGGTTTTGGATTTTGGTTCTTAATGGCCGATTTTTGATTTTGGACACTAGTGAGCGATTTTGGATGTTGGACACTAATTGCCGATTTTTAAACACTTGTGCGCGATTTTGTTTGCAGACGCAAGTGGCCGATTTTGGATTTGGGACAGTTATGGCCAATTTTGGATTTTCTGACACCAGTAGCCAATTTCGGTCAGTTATATTAGTCAATATGTTCTTGAATCATCTTTTTCTTGTGGAACAGGGTACTTACAAAGAGGTGGGATGCTGTGGTTTTTCTGTTTTGTATGTGAATACAAATCTCCTGGAACACTATCTTGTTGCGTCATTATACAACCTCTAGTTCTTGTCAATGCTATAAAAATTGTGCCATATGCAGTCTTATACACTGCCTATTTTTCCCGTTTGCCCTAGATTCGTGGCAGATGTCCAACATTATTCATCATTCGGAGATCGATCTTTTTTCTTTTCCGTTGCTTTCTTACTAACTTTGATAACATCGCAATTCTTGGAAGCCCGCATCAAATCCTATCGGGATATGAAGTTGTAACATAATCTTAAAGATGTGTATTTTCTGCCCTTCTAGCGCGTAACGGAACTGTAGGAACCATTCTCTTCGTCTAAATATTATGGCAAAGAGGGGCGGTAGCGACGCTGGAAACCCAGAACGAGGCCATTATCTTTGCTCACTAACCCTGAAGACTGAGAAAACATTGCTTAAGGTAAAGCACACATCAGTAAATAAATAGTAAGGAGCAAACGTAAACAGAAATATTACTGTGGTTCGCTAGCCATCCCCATTTCTTTCCGGTTATTTTCATTCATATTCGACTGTCTTTGAATTCTCCGCAATTTTCCATCATCCACTTCCCCAAATTATATCCATTTTCCTTGTTCGTGAACAATTCTAAATTCAGGTTCCATTCTTTATCCCTATTCCCCATAACTTATGCTTGATTCTTTGTTCTTTAGATTCTGTATCGTTGGATCGTATAAACTTCATTAAATATTATATAGCGAGTGTTACTATTTAAAATGCAGCTTTATTCAGCTGTCATATGTGAAAAGTAGTTCATTCACCTAGGTCTGCCAAACACATGTTTGAAATAAATTTCTTATGTTAGCCAGAAAATACTACTTGAGACAAGATGACATTTTAAAAAAGTGTATTTTCTGTACATTCGTTCTCTCTACTTAGCGTCGTAATTTGCGGGTGAAACATTGTCTACGCTAAACAAATTACTTAGCGAATGTTGATTGACATAGATAGCTGAATCAACATGGCTAAAAAATAAATTCATCATACATTTTCTCGAACGGAAAAGGGAAACCTTCAACTCTAACAGAAACAGCTTCAGCTAACTCGTTCCCGACTGAATTATCATATCAAGGATCTTTTCGAATGTGTTGAGTTTTAATTTCGAATATACTTTACGAAAATTGCCTGTTTAATTCAAGCTACTTCATGCGCTTACTATAGATAGACAAATGATACCATAAAAAATTTAAGTTCCGTGCATGTCAAATCAAATGAGTCTTGTCATCGTATTTACAGAAGTAAAGAACTTGATAAGTGAGTGCTAACTAAAGTCACGCCACGTTAAGTTGCGTGACTCGCTTAATTATCATTGGTCCACCAATAAAGCGATGCGTCTTTTTGGTCGTTATTCGATGTGTTTGTGTTCTAAATGTCATTTGTACAGGAAACTTGAAATCGCATCATGGACCCGCTTCCATCCCGATTACTTCTTCTTTTTACTGCAGCCAATCTTTGGTTCGAAGTGGCATTGGTAGGTAGCAAATCTTGAAAACGTTAAAATTTGCATCGTTACGGAAAGCACTATTTTAAAACGGATGTAATTTGTTTTTGTGTTATCTGAACGCGCCCAGACACAAAACTATATTTTAATCGGTATCAGACAAGAACTCAGACTGGTAGGTCGTTCGATTTTCACGAGTTCCGTTTTAAAGGGCTCTCAAGATCACTGAATACACCGACGGCTTGATAATGGAAACACTTCAGGGTATGCAATCATGCTTAAAATGAAAATGATGTAAAGTTAACAATTATAACCTTGTTGTTGTGGAAATATTAACTTCAACCTCCTTCCTGCTTGCCAACGGGAGGGTACAGAGAAAAAATTCATTCTAATTGGAATCTTCTAATTGGAGATAGAATCCAACGATTACTATTGTGAATATGTGATAAAATTAAATGAACAAAATGGTCCAACTTTTCGCAACATTTGTTTAATAATACATCAATCGTAACTACGTACCGTCTGCATTCCTTAGGCAAAGGAATATTGCGGATCTGTGGAAGGAAAAGAATACTTCTGTGATGAAGGTAAAGTCCATTAATTCTTACGTTTGGTGGGAGTCTTCTGTGACTTAGTTCTTAACACAACACTTCGGAAACGGCAAGAACGCTTGCTTAACTAAATATTCATACATTTTATGTCTTCGTAACATAATTAAAATTTACCCAAAACAAACTTTCATCTCAATGATTCAGCCGTAATATTCAAAGTTTACTCTCAAATCGAGGTCACAATTGTTACTTCCTACATTTAACTCCAACAGTACATTGAAGAGGCCTGTTTGACTAGTCGGCTTTTCTAATATTTTCATTTAATTTTTTTTCTTTGTTTACCTTTCTAAAAAATATCAATGTAGGCCAATGCTGTGGAGATTATGACTGCTGTACCTACTTCAAGTACTACAAGACGTGGTGTAAGTGATCCTCTTTTAATTTTGTTCTTGTTTTGATTTTTGTTGTTGTTCTTCTTTTCTGTTTTGTGGGTCCGTGGGTAGGTGTGTGTTTTTGTGGCAAGAAAATCTGGTTTTATGAACTGAATTGGTAATGAAAATTGGCCTAGAGCTGGTTTTCTAGAGCTTTTGTTTTTCGAGTTCACCCTTTTTCCTTGGCTCTGACCAATTATCAGTTATGTAGCAATAGAGACAAATAACCATCCCTAAAAACCCCTAAATTTACTCTGAAAATGCTGAAATGTCTGTGGAATTGAGAACAATATTACTTGCTGACTTGCAGGGTTCTGGTTGGTTTGGGCTGTTATAAGTTTATTGGGGTGCTGCTGTGCATATCACCGCAGACGTTATTACGGATGGCATGGACACATCAGGAATTTTGTTTACCCATTGGCTCCAGCCAGAACAGAAAATCAACCACTGACTCCCTATGACGAATTTTTTTCTGATCCCAACTACAAACTGCCATCTTACGCTGAAGTAGAAGCCATGGGTAGTCTGGGACCTCCATCTGATGGGGAAGGTGCCCCTCCCCCTTATGTGGACCCACTTGCAAATGAGGATTTGGACGATGATGCTGACGACATTGAAAATGGTGAAATATTTTTGGAAAGTAGGGTGGATGATGAGAGTTCCAGGCCCCTTATCCCCCCTGACACAGAAGTGCAGACATCAGAGAACTCATAATAATTCTTCTCATGAATTTCTTTTCTCAGCTGAGGGAAAAAATATGTGTTCACAAAAATGTGAATGCACGGGCCATTTTTTCACACAAATCTTCAAGCTGGCTCAGATGCTGAGTTGACAAGTTATGAATACTAGTTGTATAGGTTTTGATAATACATATAAATTGAAACACATTCTCACATTGCTATCAAACATGAGCATCTGAAATATGAAGGAAACATTATTTTAAACTGTGTTCAGTAAGACTAATCAAATAGGAGATCAGGGCATATTAGCAAACCAAACCACAAATTACTTGTGCTCCTTTGTCTAGATTTCTCAGGTGGTATTATCTTGTTTTTATAAAAAAAATCACATTCCAGACAAATTTCTAGTGTTCACAAAGAGTGGAGTGAAGAATGTAGTAAGGACTGAACCTGGCAGGTGACATGCTTTCCCTACCAATGAGATAAATAATTCATAGATCCCTCTACCTGGATGAATCTCTTGGTTTAACCCTTTAGGTCTCATTCAAATCTCCCTGTAATGTAAGCCTCAGCAATCAAACTTGAAATAGAGATATGATCATGATACAATAATAATAACTGTACATATATGTAAATAATATTCTTTCACTTGTTTGGAATTGTTTGTGATGAAATATATGTCAAAAACAATATTGGCATATTATTAATAGTGTATAGAATCAATGTATATCGTGGGTTTATGAACATTGTGAGGTAAACATTTTCATTTTACTTTCATGTTTTGGAAAGGCTAAACATGTAAAAAATTCATCCCTTGTAAGAATTGTTAGAGAAAATAACCATTCTTAATCAGCAAGTGATAGATTTCTCTAAAAGCCTCAGATCTGGCTGTGTTTATCATTATTCATACATTCAATTAATGTCTTGTTTGTGTGTTTCAGGTTTAAAAGAATACTATTAATGTTACTTAATAAGAAAGAGTTATTTTTAATATTCTTGCATGTGTATATAGTAACAACACTGATATAAATTTATGTACCAATTTTTCATGAATTATCATGATTAGTTCTGAGCTCTTAAATTAATGTACCACAATTTGTGTTCAATGTAGATTAAACTTACAAAGACCAAACACAATTTTTATTTTTTGCTTTGACTTGTTCTGGCTCTAAGGTTTGGTATCCTGCTTTTGCATGCTGTCTGTTAGCTGACTCAGTTTTCAAGTTAGTCATAAAGTGACAACTCATAGGGTAATTTCAATTTTAGAGCTGGGGTTTCAGGAACTACTTGCACAGGCTGTTTTCCCCATTTCACGACACATCTAGTCTGATATTTCTCTTTCTTCCCCAATAACACTACTGGTGTTTCTGGGGTATGTAGGAGTATTGAGGGTCTGTCACAATACTCTGCCACCTCATGAGATGTATGTGCAAAGAGAGGTGTCTCTGGTATAGTTGAACAGGCTTTCTGTTCTCCCATCTGATGTACTGTTAATGGGAAGTGTGGAGTCCTAGGAATTAATGGTTTGCCAAGCTGGTTTGCTTCAGAAAAGTTATTTATGTATAAAGCAGGTGTTTTAGAAATTTCAAACTTCTTTGCATCACTTAGTGTTATTTCTGATTTTCTAATTGCTTTAAATGTCTTCGGTGCTGGAAATTCTTTATCTGTATTGATGTTTTCAAGGCAATCTTCTATGTTGCTAAGCATTCCCTGATGAAAGCTATCACCAAGGTTTTCTGGGAAGGTCATTCTATCTATAAAATTTAGAAATATGACAATCAACTACCTCTATCACAAATAAATAAATAAATAAATGAAATAAAGCACTCTAATGCAAGTGGAAATTCTGCAAGCAGGTTTGAGACCTATTATAGCTATTTCAATAGTCCTGTTAACACGACACTTGGTTTTGTGAGTTTTTGCATTCATTAATGAATTGATAGAAATTGAAGTGAGGAAAACAGTACCAAGATACCAAACTTTAATTTTTCCCTAGGCCTGTGGTGGTAGAATTAAAAGAAATTTCAATTGGTATTATCAACTGAGGCGATAACATAAATTGGCAGCTGTAAAAGTTTCAAAGCTGATGTTTCAAGCATTAGCACTTCATCAGAGCAAATTGAGGAATTGTGGGTTTTTGAGTGGGTTTATATAAAGAAAATGGAGCTACACTATTGGTGGGATAATTGTAATGAGAAAAACAAAAATAAGTTAGTTGAATGAAAAGCATTTGTTGATACCATAGGGATTAAAAGTGTCAATTTGAAAGAGAAAATTTTCCTTTAGAGTTTTGCAGCTTCCCAAACTGCCTAGTTGTAGGGAAAAACCAGCTGCAAATTGGCAGCAAAAACTCTTGGTACAATCTTTCTAAGCTCAAACTGGAGTAACAATTTTCCTTTAACACTCTGTAGTTATACAATCTTACCAGCAATACTTCTTCTAGTTATTTTCCTTTTCTTGATAGATTCTGTATGAACACGTGCTCTTCTCTTGGTTAAAGCAATATCAAGAGGACCAAACTGTTTTTTATTCATAGTATCTCCAGCCTTCTTCACTGTACTATGAAACTTTTCATCTTGAACATTTAACTTCTGCAAGCTGAAAAAAAGAATGGGTAAATGCTTAGTAAATGTACAATATTAAGAACTTCTGAATTCCCCATTTCTTTGGATGTGGTCAGGATCACAAATGCAAAGGTAGTTTTTTTTTTTAGTCTATAACAACTTTTCGGATCAGTTTTTTTTTCATGTTTCTTTCCTTTCCATAATATAATTGTGAATTGTGATAACCTTTCTTAATTTATGTTTCAAGAAGTCTAACTCTGAGTATTCTATGTGCAGCTAGGGTTTCTATTGTCAGAAAACAGTTAATGTAGAAGAGCTTTTTAAGTTTAAATATCATAATTTCTAGAAAGAAGTGATGGCTTATGCGCTGGATAATTGTATCGTTTCGTTATTTCTGGATTTAGGAAAAAAATGAAGTACGTACTGTGTGAATAATGGCGTATCCTCCACGTTTATATCTCTACCTTGTAGTTACTCCTGAATAGTTTAAAAGCAATGGAAACTTCATTCATTGACACAGGCGTTAGTCTCGGAGATATTACAATTCTCCGCTCTCTTGGCAGAATTCACACTAGCTACGTATACTTCGATGCCTTGAGTTTTTTTGTTCATAGTGTTGGTTTTCAATCTATTGTTCCTACCTCGAAAATGTGAAAAAACAACGTCTTAAGTTTTATAGAGTGATGTCGTTGTCTCTTAACTCAAGGAAAATTTCCTAAACTTGAAAGATTAGGAATTTCATAAACGTTTTCAGCATCGAAATCTATCGAGAGGAAAAGAGAATTCATTGATTAAAAAGTCTCACACCTTTTAACCAGCCAGCCGCTAAAGGGTTTCCCGCCAATAGCCCGCTGATAATTTTATCATCGCGGACTCACCCAGAAAAGCATCATGGCTGCCGCGCTGACCTCCGAAGAAACAACACTACTTTCTTACCTTTCTCACTTCTCGAACGTCCTTGTAAAGGATGTGAGTCTACAAAAAGGAAAAGGTCTCTTTGCCAAGAAGGATTTCAGAGAAGGAGAGCTCATTTTTGAAGAAAAGCCGTTGATTTGTGGCCAGTTTTTGTGGAATTCTCTCTACAAGTACACAGCTTGTTCTCATTGTTTGAGGTCTTTGGAAACAGCTGAGCAGATGGCGCGTAGGTTATCGGGAAATGACAGCTTGGAACTTCCTTATGCATCCAAGTGCTGTGAAATTACACGTATGGGACTTAAAATTATTAGCTGCCATAACTGTCAGGTATTACTCATGTTTGCGTGCGTATTGCTTTGTAAACTTTGGTTGAGGTAGACTAAGGAAAGGTATGAAACCTAATTTAACACAAACTGCATTCAAAGGCAAATGGTAATCGGACACTCGCAGGTTCAGATCTTTATTTAAGTTTAAGAGTGTTCGAGATGCGTTTCGATTTATTTAAATTGAAGTGAGCTGGACCAAATGGAAGCACTCCTGCATATCCCTTAAATTTTCTTTACAGGTTAAATATTGCAGTGAAGAGTGTAGACAGCGTGCATGGGATCACTACCACAGGACTCTTTGTTTGGGACAAAATGAAGGAGATCCCAGCCATCCTCTAGAACAGCTACAAGAATCCTGGAGGTTTTTCATCATTTTTTTTTTCAATTTTTTTATATCTATTCCTCACAGAACTTTCAAATCAATTTATCTTTCACTTAAATTGCATTCATTCTATGATTTTCAGTTTTAGTAACTGTTTAACTTGAGTGTGATTTTCCATTAGAAAAATGCACTATCCCCCAGAAACTGCAAGTGTGATGCTTATTGCACAAATGATTGCAACAGTATTGCAAGTAAGTATTGCTATGAAATGAAACAGATAACTCTATCACCACAAACTTCATGTAGCATAAAATCTTATAACCCTTAACACCCTATCATCAGTTTGTATTTTCTCATACTGTTCTTTATACATTTCCTAAGGTCTTTTGACCACACTTGGTTAGCTCCCATTGTAGAGCATCGCACCGCTATACAGGAGGTCAAGCCTTCAAGCCCCAAACTGGACCAACACCCAGCCAGTCTTGAATAAAAAAAATGTGTTCCCTTTGCTACGACATCCACAAATGAATAGACATTCTATGACATCCACAAATGAATAGACATTCTAGTCTTTCTGGATAAGGAGAATAATTACCCCTGACCTTGTCTCCCCCATCTTCTCTGTACATGTTAACCCTTTAACTCCCAAGATCTGATTGTTAATTCTCCTCTCTAACCGGCACACAATTCCTCCTAAATAAGTTATGAGAATTTGGTGTTAGATCAAGATAACAACTTCCTGATAAGCTTGAGTATTCTCATTACATGGTGGCTGGATAATGTACAGATATTATAGGGAGAAATTACAATTTAATCACTTTTGGAAGTTAACGGGGTTAAAAGAACCCATGCATCCATGCACTTCTCACAAAGAGTGGGGAAGGCAGCTCCCAGTGTTAGGGTCTGGCCTGGTTGTTGTTTATACAGGCCCCCATTTAAACCAGCTTCAAGCAGAACCAGGTCAGCCTGTCTAAATATGGCAAATATAGCATACAAAGAATCCCTGCTTTAGGTGGCAATCATTTCTTTTATTTTCATGACCTTAATGGTTAATTTAGGGGCGATATTGTAAGGAGAAATTAGATGCTGGTCACTCCAAGGGTGAAAGGGTTAAACAAAAGCATGATAAAGTGTTTTGCATTTTTCAATTTAAATACATGAATATACAGAGCCTCCAGTGCCTCCAATTCTCCAAAAAATTGTTTTCTTTTTCTGTTTGTTTTGTCTGGTACTTTCTTTGCTTACTATTTATTTTTGCTTCAGGCACCAGATCCCAAGAAGATGCAGGATGTATTTGAATCTTTTTGCCACTCTGTGGTGAATAGAGGGCAACAAATTGTTCACAAATTACTAGGAGATCAGTTTAAGGTTTGTTGACAGCAGTGTCATTATTATGACCCTTTTAACCCCTAAGTGTGATTAGCACCTAATTTCTCTGTACAAAATCATCCCGAATCACACATTTAGGTGACAAGAATAAAGGAAATGATCCCCAACTAAAGAAGCTCTTGATTATTGAACAAATTCTTCTTGTCACCACCATAGGAAATGTATAGAGCACAATATGGAAAGTCCACATACTGATGTTTGGGTGTAAAGGGTTAATGAAACCATGTGGCTTTCCAAAAAAAATGAATACATAAAGAAACTTTTGTTTTCTTATCAGGTACAAAACACAGGCAATGTCATAATTTTACATCTACGTGTACATAGATAAAATGGATCAATGTCAGTATCTGAGCTACTGCAAACCCTAACTTGTTATCAGTTGACTGTTGTTGGGTGAAAGGGGGGGTAAGTGTACAGTTGCTCAGTTACTGACTTTGATCCAATAAAATGATGATACAGTTTCTGGAGTGTTCTTCACCTATAAGAAATTTAATTCTATACAGTAAAGGAGCTCATTGTTTCCTTGAAGGAGCAGTTAGACATCCTACGAGTACAAATGTCCAATGCTCTGTATGATGAGAAATTAGAGGAGGTAAGGTGTACAAGGCACTCAAACATTGTGCAAAAGTTGATAAGTAAGAACAATCAGAGTTCAGAACTTCATGTATGATCTACATTGTAACTGCTAGTTTAAAATTTACTTAATTTAATGATATCATTTCACACAAACATACAAACATTTAATTTGACACTACAAGAGTTAACGCTTCAAAGCTTGTGGGCCATGTATGCTACTGGATTAAAACACATTACTTAAAGTATATACATATGAAATACTAAATACACAGCCACGAACAAAGAATTAATCCAGGACGTTAAAATATTAATTTAAATTTGTTAAAGTGCACATAATCACCATCTCTATATCGAGACGTGGAGGCAGTTCAATTGTTGAAGAGAGAGTTTTAAAAGTACTCCTTGGTAATAAGTAGTCTGTTGATTTCCTTAAAATTTAGATTATTTGTTTTATCATTACATTGAATAAATTCCAGAGGGCTGACCCACAAAAGGTTAATAAGCCTCTCATTAATCAGCAATTATATCTCGGAATCGAAGCATACCATTGTACATACCATGTACCTGACATCTACGTTTAACATTATTAACGCAATGATAACATGGTTCCTATTTCACTGTTAGTGGTTTAAAATGGAGGGTTTCCTGTCACTGATGGCTCTTGTGGGAATCAACGGGCAAGGAATTGGAACAAGGCAAGTTATGAACAGAATTGTTTTATTCTGGCAAATCTGCCTCATCCCACTCAAATCTGCCCTAAATTGTGAATCCAAGTACTGTATACAGGGCGTGAAATTGCGCCTAATACAGGCGCCAATGCGACTAAATTTTTCACTTTGGCGACCAAATCCTGAAAGTTAGTCGCCAAATTGGCGACTAGAACGTTTCATCATAACCTTACCAAGAGATATAGTGAATTAAAAAGATTTGCAAAGATAAATCCGCGGCAAACTTCCTTGTTAAGTTTGTTTCCAAAACGTAGCACATGCATCTCGATCGATAACTAGACGCCATCTTGGATTTAGATGATCCTGAACGTTGTATATCATCCATCCTAGTGTCCACTTTGTAGCACGTTAAAGATCTTTTCCCTAACTTAATTTGGAGGGTCTATCTAGAACGCTGACAGCGTAAAGAAAGATTTTGTTTGTCTTTGAAAATGGCGACCAACTTTTTTTGAATTGGCTACCACTTTGAAGAATTTAGGAGCCAAGTGGCTATCAGAAAAAAAAGTTAACTTCACGCCCTGGTATACACACAAACCATGAAAACTGAGTCACCACTCTTAACCGTACTATAACCATTTTTTATTTCAGCTCCTTGAGTGTTTATGTTCACAATCTTGAAAACCTTGGAGATATAACTGAAGATGAACGGCAAGCCCTGGATATTTTTATCGATCAACTTTATGAAGAAATGTATAATGGTGAGAACATTTGACCCGATTTGTCATCTTTGTTATTGCATTATTTTGAAATATGTACTTTTTGCTTCCATATGTCCTTTTGCGCCTCAACAGTTTCTGGGCAGTTTCTCAACTGTGAAGGTTCTGGTTTGTATGCACTGCAAAGTTCATGTGAGTACATTCACTGTTTTTAGTCAAGAACAATTCAAACTTTGGTTTTATTCTATTTTTTTAGGTCTGATTTTTAAAACAAAGAACTTCTGAGTGCATCAGATTTTTTTCTATAGCCATAAAACACATTTATTTAATACCATCGTTTCGATGCTCAGATAAGGCCTTAGGATGTATTTTGAAAACTAGAAGTTAAAACACGGAGAAAATGGAATAGTAGTGGAATCTTATATTTACTAGTCGATGGCTTCACACATGATACAAGCGGACATTTGACTCATTACACTTCTTTTTCCTTACCTCGTAACTTACAAAGTATCCGCGCGTACTACATGTACATGTTAAGCCATCGACAAATGTGTATTTAACGCTCCGTCACCAAAGCGAATATGAACATTATTTAGCTTCTGCACCGATGGTAAGCCACACGAAGCTTAAAAAACCTTCCGTGAATTCCTTTTTTTTTTTAAATACTTTTTGGCAGGTAATCCAAGTTGTGAGCCTAACGCTGAAGTCACTTTCCCCCACAATAACTCAACATTGGTATTAAAGGCTCTCCATGATATTAAAGAGGGCGAGGTATTGCAAATGTTTGTCTTCTAAATAGAATTAGAAATATGGGAAGTTTTAAGCTCGGTAAAGAAATACAGAAAGATGTTTTATCGTCTTGTCACGAGCGAGGGACATAGAAAAAAAAAATCGACATCGCTGATCCTAGCGGTTTGCAGGACGGGTGTCATACATGAACTTCGTAAAGGGCCTTGCTCACCATAGAGTGTTTGTGGCTTAGTGGTTGAGCATCGGAGCGCGGAATCCGAACGTCTGAGGTTCGATTCCTCGTGGGGACTCAGAATTTTTTCTTTGTCCCACGCTCGTGACAAGACGGTGAAACATCTTTCTCTGTTTTTCTTCTTTTTGGTAAATGCCTGCATAATGGTGGACGTTTGCACATGTACCGTTGAACGCCTGTTTGGATTGCAATTTTTATGTGGAAACGACACGACTCGTTCAAAAAGATGCAAACTAGAGTAGAGAGACATCGATGGGGAATTCTCCTGTCTCATCCCTTTACACCCTAACATCAGTATGCATATTCTCCACACTGTTCTCTATACATTTCCTAAGGTGCTGACAAGGAGAATTTGTTTAACAATCAAGAGTTTCTTTAGTGAGTGATAATTTCCCTTATTCTCTTGATCTTGATGTGTGATTCAGGGGCGATGTTGTTAGGAGAAATTAGATGCTAATCACTCTCAGAGTTAAAAAAATAGTGTCTTCTCAACTAATCCTATGCGATTAAAGCTGTGTGTTCTTAATATCGTATTTTTAGAAACTAATGTTTTATTCAAGAATTTAAGTTTACAACAGAGTCAGTTACGACTGAAAGACTTTGAAATCTTTGTTTGTCGACTGATTTGATTTCAGTTTAATTTTATTGATCATTTCAGGAAATAGTCATTTGTTATCTGAACTGTTGTGATCGAGAACGAAGCCGACACTCAAGACAGCGTTTACTAAGGTAATCGTAACGAGAAATTTGTTACATTTACGGTAACGTATAGTGTGATACAAAAAGGTCGCCAAGGATGAGGAACTTGTGAATCGAAATAACATCACTTACGTTAATTTCGATTGTTTGCTGGTCTTTTCCTCGAAGTGCTTGGCTTAAAGTACAACTTTTTTCGAAGTCGTCCTTTGATGATCTAAAATCGCAGAGTGGTCGCCTGAAATTTTATTGGCCGAGAAAAAGTAGAGAGATGAATAAATAAATCAATGATAGGTGGAGGCATTGTGGCCAAGTGGTTAGGGCACTTGATATGAAATGTAGTGGTCCTGGGTTCAAGCTCTCTTCCCTGCTACTCACTAAATTTGTTCTCGGTTACATCGAGTTCAACTCATTGGCTGCTCTTTGTATACTGTCAACTGGTCTGCCTTTTGCCACTCAGGATCTGTGTTTATTTACAATGTTTGTTTCCAATTTGTTTGTACTAGCGCTAAAAAGCCCCCTTTGGGGAGTAGTCAATTAATGTTGATTTTATCAATATTATAATAAGTACAAAGAAGATAATTTAAAATGAAATTTGTGCAACTGCAACCGCAACCGCTAATTAGAACGCTCATCTTTAAGACATGCAATTAGCTGGTGATCGTTCTTTGAGGTTCACACGAGCTCCTATGGCTTGATACTTGGACAATCCTTTTGCCGCGTGGCTTGCTTCTTGGAGCGCGAAGTGTGTCGCAAATTACAAGTCTTTTGTGTATTTTTAAGGGAAAATTACCTGTTCAACTGTACTTGCCCTAAATGTGAATCACAATCAGGTGACCCGGATGTGACATCAAGTGAAGACGACGATGATTCTATGGAACAAGACTCTTGACATTGACCTTGGCTTTTTCTTTTCATCACGGGAAACAGAGAGTTTGTCAAGTATACTGCCAATGTTGTATTTCACCTGGAGATGCCCTATCTCGAGTATTACTCTCTGGGTTTATGTTGCAGAAAGTGGAGCTACGCTATTGGTGGGAATATGGTGATGAGAAAACAAGAATAAATAAGTTGAATGATAGTTGGTTAGTGCGCTCACTACGAGACGTGAAGGTGAAGTGCATCTGCAACTGAGTTATGACGCTTACAGGGTAAAAAACATTTGGCTCACGTATCATTTCTGCGTGTAAACTGCAGAAAGCATTTCTGGTTGGTCCTTTTCCTAAACTCTATGCAGCTTATTCTCTCATAATAGGCCATCACCTCTTGAATCACTCTCATTGCTTGTGGTTCTCTCGCTGAAATTCAATTGATTATCAAGAATTTTTGAGGGACTAATCTATATATATATATATATATTACGATAGGGGAAAAAACAGAGAGACTATATTTTCATCCCTACAAGCCTGTTTCGTGATTACTCACTCATCAGGGGATTTTGATATGTATATATGTATATAAAGAGTAATTTTGACTTTCGTAAAACAGTTCTCAATACATAGTAGTAGAGCGATGTATATATTGTGGGAGAAAAAAGACAAATAAACTACCAGTTCATCCCTACAGACCAGTTTCGTGGTTACCCGCTCATCAGGGGATTTAATGAGAATAGATCTTTACCATGGCTTATATATACAATATGATCTAATTTATGCAGTGCGGAATTTAACAGTTAGTTGTTGCGTAGGAGGGCTTTGTTTCTGTGGCGGCAGGAAGACACGAGTTCATTACGTTTGTTTAGTGTTGATAGTTCGGGTCGGCAGATGATTAAGAATTTTTTCTTTTAGGCAGAGATTACATCTTTTACTTGAGCTGTTGTACGGCGAGTGTGATGAGAGAATACGCAGGAAATAAAGTGCTCGATGTTGTTGTCTTTGAGGGTCCAGATGTGCTTGCTGAGTTCGGTGGAGTTTTTGTGTTTAGCGTGGCGGAATGATGCGGTGTGGTTTCTGTATCTTGTTTTGAATTGTCACGTAAAGGGTAGTTACAGCTTCTCAAAATCGAAGAAATAAAAGAACTACTGTTTGATTGAGGATCTCTCTTGTTGACCTCTTCTTAATTACTACTCAAAATAGACAAAAAAGAGTCTTTGATGTTGTTTTTGTTCATGTCTCAAAGGGGTGTTACACTACATTTTAAACTGTTTTTTACCGAGAAAAAAGTCGCAGATGACATCGGTGACCAACGTAAATTGTTCAATTCCTTTGAAACTTTTCTCGTAATAGAATTATACACTATCCTAGTGTATGATTCTATTCAAGGGCATTGAAGGAATTTAGCGGGAGATCACATGGGGAGAACGGAAGGTGATCAGTCGTCACCAAGAGGGTGTAGAGGAGGGGGAACTAGAGAATGGAAAATTTCTGCCAATCGACTTTAACAAGAGTTGAGTACTGTAACTTCGCTTGATTATTTTGATGAGAAGCGAATCTAATGAGATACTAATGTAGTTTATTGTGCTGTGATTTTCTTCTCCCGCCTAATTAGTAACTAAAATGAACCCCACTTATTTTAGATGCAATTTAATGATTTAAGAACATGCATTCTAGAAGGTGCAAATTTAATTTGTGTAATGTCACTCCATTTTGAAAATGATTGAACGTTTCTCGGCCTCTTTAGTGAATATACTACACTAGTGCTCCTGATCGATTCTCCTCAAATGAACGCCATAGCGATAGCTACTGAACCAACCAATTACAGTCCACTGGGAGAAAAACGGGCACGGCTGTGAATCTCGTATAATGATCAGGGTTATAATAACCCGGCCAGCCATACTTTGAAGGCCATAAGGTTATCAATTGAAATTGTCATGAATTGATGAAGCACACTTTCGCTTTTATATAGAGTGATCATTTCTGAAAAATTCATGTAATAAAATTAACGAAGGGCTTGATTTAAGATCTGAGTGGACATTTCGTTTTCTAGACAAGCTCTCATTTGATAAATCGCTCCCGTCGTTTGACGCAAAACGTGAAATATGCGTTCAATGACAAAAAGGGAATGTGAAATGGTTTGACTACTGATATAACGGGTCATAACCTTCTCGCTTCGTTATATAAATAATCAATCATGCCAGTCGATGTTCAATTATAAACAGACTATTTTTCTTACGACGAACAAGTGCACTATTATAAAATTTTAACTAAAACTAGCGTTATTTCAGGAAAATGCTGAAATTTTTAGGCTAAGACACACAACAAACCCGTGCCTCTCATATACTAGTTATACGCTTCTACAAATTGAGCTATATAGCCACATGTTAGGAACAGGCGGACTTGTCTTTTATACGTTTTTGTTTCCCGCAGACGAATCAGACCAAATACAGTATGGGTGAAATAAATCCTTTGTTGACCCGACGATCAGACAACAAGGGACTGACTGATTTTCACAGATCCACTGCAACTACTGCCACTACCGACTTTAAAACAGTGAGAAAAATTTCAGGCATCGACGAGAATTAACGATAAAGGCATAGCGCTGGGGATGGTACTGCGCTCTATAACGGGGTGCGTGGCCCAATTTAGTAAGCCTATCGCAAATCGCCAGTACATGAATAACATGCGACTGTCAGTCAGTCAGCCAATTGCAATCCCCAACCTGAATGGTGAGTGAGGCCTTAAATTTAGAAAACCATAAACCGTAACACAAGGCAGTAAATGCAGTAGACGATAACACTCAGCTGTTATTGTTGTTTGATCGAAAGGGGGGGGGGGAGGGGATCTTGAGTCAATTTTCGTAGGGTACGTGCCGCTGACCCGGCCTCTCAGAGCTGCTATTCCATGATAATCTATTTTGAGGCCAATTATGAACCCCGTCCCAGTCACTTACGCGATCCTGACTTAGCCACTCTCTGTTTATCTCTCCACCTTACAAAGCCTTTTCGGTGGGTTATCCTGTAATGCGAGCTAATCGGCTAAATATCAAAACGACAGCATCAAACACAGAGACGACTTTTTAACCGCGATTCTCTCCATTTTTAAATATCGTCTTTAATACTGGAATTTTCTTACCCAAAAAATCCCGGAAATGTACGACCCATTGTAGTAACTGTTTTGCTCGTGTAACCCCAGTCAATCGTGTTGAGAAAATACGACCCTATTCAGCGACACACCACCATTAACCTATTACTAAGAAGTACCCTCTCCCCCCGTGTTGAATTTTCTTGGTAGCGATTTTCACACTAACACACAGAGCGCTTTTAATAGTCTGGTATTCAGACTATTGGTCGACGTTTCTCAGGCCGGGCTAGTAGGATTACGCAATAAATGTAGTAGCAAAAAATAAAAGGATAGGCCCTGAAGATGACTAATGGCACTAGTCTAAAATATTGACCCGTTAAAGGTGCCCTGTGCTGAATTATCGGCTTTGTGATGAGTGATCACTTCTGTTCTCTTTACCAACAGCATATCCACGAGGCGCTAAAACGTATGTGAAGTATGGCACTACAAATCTTAAATTCAATTTGCACACTTCAGAGCACTCGAAGATCACCTACGATACTGAAGTGTTGAAATCGCTTTCCGGTCATTGCTTATTTCGTTTCCGGAAGAGATCAACCTGTATGTTGTAACTTCTTCCTCCATAATTTTACCCTTTTATCGGCAAGCAGATGGAATAGTCTCCTCAGCTCTGAATACTCAATCTCAAGAAGTGGCGCTTTCATACGCATAATGTACGTGTCTCGTCTCATTTCTTAAATAAACCTGGAAGTCATCGCATTTTTGCAGTTTTTCGCTTTCTTCAACTTATAAAGTCGACACTCTTCATCTTATGGCCTAAATGAAAGTCGCACATCTCCACCCCCCCCCCCCTCCCACTATGTGTTCTGGTATACTTCACCCCTGTCCCTTGGGGTTAAGCCTTTCTTCTTCAAAATTTATTGACGAAACTTTGTGTTCCCTCGGTAAATGGAGAACTACCTGAATTACTCGGTCAGGTCTTACATCCTCCTGTACTTCGTAATTTTGACAGAAGAGACGGTGATATTACGTCTGAGACATTAATAAACACTCGCTCATTAAAAAATTGCCTTTCCGGTTTCTTTCGATGCATTATTAATGGTCGATGTCAATGTATTTAGAGAATCAACCGACTGATAGCTAACAATTGCCCGTGGTTAAACGCCGACTGACACGAACTTTCTCCCCATTTTCTGCGGCTTTTTATGAGAAGAAAAATTAAAAGTTGCAGGTTTTAAATATCCGATGTAATTAATGATTTCACCTGATGTGTTCAGTCAAAACTTCCCGATCAATTGTCTGCTCAAACGATTAAATGCGAATAGCTTGATAACCACCCGTCGAGAACACTGACACTTTCGTAAGTGATATCGGATAATAGACAGGCCTTTTGAGGAAGCACTTTAGCCAAGCACTATCAAACCTCACGCCGTTCAAAATGAACGGAGCTTTTTTGGAATAGCTGAAAGCTTAACGCTGAAAGTGTTGAAGAGCTCAGTGGGAAAATCGAATGTGAATTTCTCCAAGCCCTTCGTGTTTATATTTAATGCACACGGGTTTTACGCAGATGATTGACATTGTCGCGCGCGGTTCATTAAAAGATTCTACTTGACACATTTCAAAACTAGAACCTGTCGTTTAGGCATGCAAAAACATGATGAAATGGTCATTTGAATAAAACCTTCAGTCTCTTGTCAATCAAATTAGGAAACGATTTTCTGTTTCCTTGTGTATGGAAAGTTCAAGAGTGTGGAAAATGACGTTTAATTCACACTTATACTTGAGTGGATGAAAACAAAAGTTTTAATAGTAACGGTCGAGTTCTTTATCGTTAATTGCTTCTCAATGAAGAGTGAGCGACCATCACAACGCCGCGCGTGTCCAAACAAATGGCGAGCGAAAAAGAAGCAGCTGTTCTCAATCGAACTTGGACTTCAGTCTCACAAAATAGCGGAATTTTCCTGTAACTTTTCATTGCTGAAGGATGTTTTTTTTTCGACAAACAGAAATATTTCTTGCTACATAATCATGTGTTGATTTCAACAAAAGTTGATGGAGGCCAAAAGGGCGAAAGTGAATGACGCGTCGCAATTTATGGTCTTCACGGCGAATCTCTTCCTG